TAGCCTAATATGCGTTTCGTGGGGGATCTTTGAACACTTTCAACTTTTTTCTGTCTGTTGATTTAAAGCTACTGTATAAGTGGGCACATTATTCAAGTTTGGGGCGAATGCATATCTAATATATGGCTAATCTGGCTTCTGGAGTGTAAAAGTTGCGTAGCACAAAGGCGGTTAGACGTTTACAATCAGATGCCACTTTATTTGCATTTTCAGTAAAGGTCAGATCTGAGTATGTTACCCCGAAATCTGTGACTGTATTCGTGTTTGAGACAAGGTCACTGTACATGTATAGACACATGCTAGGTTTCCAATGTCCGAAATATGTTACCCCAGACTTAGCTGGATTGAACGTCAACTGCCACTTTTCACCCCAGTTACATAAACTACTTAGGTCTTGTTGGATTTAACTATCAATATTCATATCATTATAGTCGAAATCATAGACAACTTTGAGGTCATCTGCAAAGAGGTATGGCTTGCCACTATCGTTTATGAATACAATAAATAGGGTAGGATTAAAAACACTACCTTGTATCACGCCGCTGGTTATCGGTTTGGATGTAGATAAGTGATGGTTGACTTTAACTAACTGTTCTCTTCCTGTAAGAAAGGAAGTTATCCACTCAAGTAGCCTTCCACTTATTCCATTAGGATAGGAGTTTCAATATGAGTCTGTTATGTGGGACCTTATCAAAAGCTTTCCTAACATCTAGAAATAATGTTTCTGCCGAAAGACCCTTGTCTACACAATCAGTAACGTGATCAAAACAATCTAACTGGCAAGTAATGCACGATCTTCTATATAGGAAACCGTATTGGAAAGGGGATATTAAGTCATTCGAAAGCAAATACTGAACAATTTGCCTCTTTACAATCTTTTCCATCACACGTGAAACTACGGAAGTGATGTTGATGAGGCGGTAATTATCTTAAACAGCTTTCAATCCCTTGTAAACGTTGTACTTACCTCAATATTGGTTGGTTATCGTATGCCTACAACCACGGGATGAAAACGAAACGAAGTCGATTTTCCCGCTCTACCTGGAGGACAATCGTACAATTCAATAACTATACGGCCTGGTTCAGAAAATGAGTGTATTTATATATATCAAATATTTAACAGTTGAAACATTATTAACTGGTAGACAATCTACGATTTGATACTATATCATACCCGATCCTGCCTGTAAAAATGGCATGCATTTTCATTTAACTTTATATGTTTATATGAGAATATACGTTATTATTATAAGTTGCGAGACAAACACGGTCGCGTTTTACGCGTTCGCAAGAAGTGCATACAAGGGCGATCGGTGAAGCACTGAGGAAGTTTAGTGGTAGGCCTAATGTGAAATCAACATCATCTAGGTCTGTCTATGAATTGTGTGACCATAATGGTGCGGTGAAGAAGTCTGTATTTGTAAGGCATTGTTGAATACAGTGTCACAGACAACACCACAGTTTGTGCAGGAGAAGAGAGTTACGGTTTAAGAGTCCAGTTCTGACTCCTCAAGTTTTCAATGTATTACTAGTCAGAGTGAAGGTATAAAACCTTTAAGAATTGTGAGGAAGAACCCAAAATGTCTACTGCTGTTATTAAAGGGTTTGCAAATGACGAAGTTGATCATACAAACGGAGGTTAAGTGGATATTTTTGACAGTGGTCATGATGGTGCAGATTTGTTTTTGGGTTATCATGATGAGATGGGCGGAATGCATACTTCTACTACTCCTACTGCGTTGAATAAAAGTTTTGTACAACTTGAAGTAGACTTAAGAACGGATGCAGTGGTAGAAGTTATGGATACTTTTGAGACCGTCAGTGTGAATGATCATTGTGTAGCCAACCTATTGACAGATGTGAATGCTAAACTGAAGCTAATAATGAAAGACAGCAGAAATGGTAATCTTGCGGTTAGACAACCTTGTAAATGTCTAAATACAAAAGCTTCTGATGCACCGCTAAGTTCATCAACTTGTGTCACTCAGTCGTCCTCGGTGTTGCATCCACCATGAAAGGGACGTCCACGAATTCACGTGCTTTATGCTTTGACTATGCTAGTATCGGTCCATTTGAAAAGACGAAAGATATTGGTCACTTTAAGGAGGATAATCCAAGTGCACGATACGAGAGGGTAATTGTTAAAGTGACTTGCACGAATAAAGGCATTCCAAGTTTCAAGTTACTATTTGAATGTTATTATCTTTGGCGTAAATTACTCTGTACCCAAGTTTGGTTGGTCAGATACATCGTCTGTTTGTTAGTCATCTGTATTCTACGGTAAAATGACATGAGCGTGTCACCGTTTAGAGTTGGGGATAAAGATGATAGAAGGATGTCAGCAAATGAACTCTGTGACGATTTTCCAACCTAGGGTTGTAGGCGTGCTGCTGTAAGTCCTACGATTCTTCAAAGGGGTCCACCAAGACATGATCTGCGAGGTTGTGTGCACTGTTTATATATGTGTGTGTTGTGTCATATCAATTGGTGTTTTTGATTCATTGTGTTTACTTGTTGCTTGCTTTGTTGTTATTGCACAATTTTCTTAAACATTTCGTCGTGATTACTTCTGAAGTTGTTTCGAGTCTTAGACATCTGTGAATGAATTGATTGATATTAAAGACAGCAGATGGGTCGTGTACGCCGTGGGGGTTAGGCTATTGCTGAGAATGACATGCATACGAAGATAATTGTTAGCTGTGGTCCCACACGCTAGGGAGCAACGGTGTAGACGACTGAGGCTTGCATACGTCACCGTTACTAGAACTGAGGCAGAATGAGTGGCAAGCGATACAAAGCGATTCTGAAAGTCTTCGAGGGACATTGTGAGTTTCAGCGTAGTGAGAGCTGGACATTGATAGGCTATGAGACTTAGCTGACACAAGTACACATTTTCAGCAATATCACTAAGTAGCAGTCGCCAGGAATGGATCCAATTACACAGCCTCTCTAGGTTTTCTTCAACATCATTGTATCCCTACTCAAGTTTCTCAAAAAGGATGGTGTGAGTCGTCAGCAAAGAGATACAGCGCCATGCTTAATAACACTGTATAAATCGTTAGTGCTAATCAAGAAAAGCAATGGTCCTGTCATTTAATGCTGGGTTGTTGCAATTCGAATGGGTCTAGGAGGTGAGTAGCAGCAGTCCTTCGATAACGAAGTAAGGCATGGTAATAGAGGATTTTAGAAGCTGTAAAAATTTAGCCTTAAATCTAGTCTCTTTTGAAAGGTGTGTCTACAAAGGCGTTACAAATCCTACTATTGAGTTAAGTGATGAAGATTTCGTGATATATTCTGGAAAGTACTTAAGTGATAAGCGCATAACAGGGCTGAGGTGAGGTGTTTGAATGTACACACTTACATATAGTTGTTTTACGATTACGTTGACTACCTGAACTTCATATATCAGAAAATAGAGTCGCATACGATGTAGTATTCCACAGATCAGTAATCACATCCAGTGACTCTAATCTTAGGACGCCTCATAACTAGTGTAGGTTCATCAGGTTTCAGTTTGGGTCATTATCTCGGTAGCATTGAGCACACTGCTGATAAGCCATGCTGCAACAATACACAGTATTTCCCCTCTATTTTCGTCAAAAGCATCGAAGCAACTGGTTGGAACCTGTTTAGTAGTATGCCCCAGCACGCACTGAGATCCTCAGGTATAATTTAATGAAAACAGTTTGAAATGGAGTGAACACGATGCAGTTCTGTGGACAGTGAACAGAGGTAGTCCAGGGTTTTCAAAAGGCCTCCAAAGGGCACCCTAATGAAAGTCTGACTTTGTTGTGTGAATGTGGTTAGATGGGTGACTCTGGCAACCGATAAAACCGTCATGAAGCCCTGACTAACAGCGAGATCAATGACAGCCAATTTCCTTGAAAAGACTTCATTTCACACGGCTCAGATAAGATACTTTATAAACTTAGTGGGATTTTCATCTACCTTATGAAGTGTACAGCACTGAAACGATAACCCAGCTACACGTTACAGACTGGAATCTGCTGTAATTTAGTCTGCTTTGCCGGTGACTTCCCATGAAGGTGTCATACGTTTACGTTCCAAAAATTTCAATTACTAGTGGTCAGTCGTTTAATCCTCATTTCAGTTTATTTCGAGGATCCAGCTGTGATTTCACCGGAGAACACTTTGAATCATAACCTGTTAAAATATTCCATGTCACTGGTCCTGCTCTAACAAGCAAGGAAGACCACGCGTATGCATTTTGTGTGATTGAAGTATGTTTGTTTGTTTGCTACCTCAATGCTCATAACTTATCGTTGAAGGCACTATTATTTTTATCATCGATTAAATTGTTATATATTGTTATTTGACACTGAGTAAGACGTCATCCAGGCAATGTTAAAGGAGTTTAAATAATTTGAGCCTTTCTGATCATATGCAACAAAAATGACAACGCGGAAATGTGGATAGAATGACTGAAACTTAACTGTGCAGATAAACATGAAGTTCAACTAGACAAGCCGTGGTGGTAAAGTGGGAAAGTAAAGCGTTTGTACTCTGGCAGATGTGACACCCTTATGTTCACTGTTTATAGGATATAAAGCTGACTTAATTGCTGATCACTGGAAATAACGTTTTATATGAGTGTCCCGGTGTAGGGCCGTGCTTAGAAATGGGTTCCTAAATGTTAAAACAATAATATTCCGAAGCGGGCGTGTTAAGGTGAAATAATACGGTCATACATCTGGAAATGGTGACGTATGAGATAATATTATTTTCATGAATTACTTATGAACAGCCTCATATTGTATAGGGACCTCAGGAAAAACTTCATCCGCAGGCCCTTATTAATATGATGGTCCTTTTTCGATGGACACTGAAATCTTTTATTCTTGTGGCTATTACCTAGGCTGAAGTTTATAATCACATGGTTTGTACAACGATTTGTATTAGTCTGCACAGTCTGCAGACTATCCTAGTTTATTTCTCCGCGGATTTCGATTATCATAATTTATAGTAGAGTATAAAATTTCTGTTCTCCGAAATTCGGATTTCAAAATTCTTAAAAATGGAAGAAGTGTTTGCCTCTTGAACTCATTTAACATACTTTGTTATAATCCTTCAAGGAGGAAAGTGTTTATTTTCAATTAGTGCTCTGCACTGTATATGTTATCGGTGACGTAAAATGGTTTGTAGCATAGTGCATTTAAGTACATTTCTCATTAGGAAAATAGCAAGAAAACTGTCATTCAAGGATGTCTGGCTGTATTTGGTGGAGTTCTGTTGCACCTTACATTCGGTTATTTCTATACCATTTGTAAGTAGATATTTTGTTATAACCTTAATTTTTCAGCAAATATGATCCCGTATATAATGGATTATTTAAGAACGTATGTGGATCCTAGCATATCTGATAAAGATGCCATATGGCTATCGGCTTTGGGATTTTGCATGCAAGGCCTTGCAATGCCTGCTGGTGGTTTGGTGGCTAAAAAATTGGGCTTTAGACTTGTTGTCGCCACAAGTTGTATATTTTTGAGGTAAAAGCCGTTCATCAGTTAAAATTGTCTTCTTCTCTGAATTCAAACCAGTCAAGTAGACTGAACCTGCTGTTCCCTTTTTTAAACTCAGTGTTTTTTCAATTATTTATAAATCATTATTGATTTGCACATGTATGCATATGTTTTAGGTAAAGATTATGAATTTACATTCAGTGTCTTCAACCCAAAATGTTGCCGATGTGTTGTCCACACATTGTTTTTGTATGATCTAGGAACTTTATATCTACCATTTATACAGTCATATTTAAGTAAATGCCAAGTCACTTCGTTAAGTTACACTCAAGATTAAATTTGCACTTGGAGTGCTCTTTTCTAAACCTATCGAATTCAGAGGATATAAAGGATTTGGATGGTTTGTTGACTTTAGTTTCATCAGTTTAAGAGATATAAACTACTTATAAGTCTTTCTCACTTCGTTTACTTTTTTAGAACATTATTATAGCAGTGATAGGGCAAAAAAGACCCCGTATAAAAGGGCATATGAAATACGGATTTCAGCCGTCATAACACAGAAGAGGTTATTGGTTATATCTGAATAAAAATTGTGGTAGAATAAATTTTTAATTTTTGAGCAGTTTGCAGTTGTACTAAGTGCAATGACACTCGAATTAAATCAGACAGTACGGTAGATGCCGTGATTTTATTTCTCCTGTAAAACATCTGGTTTGTCTTTTGCTTTCAATGCTTTTAGTGGGAGTGTGTTTTCTACGTACTTCACAATACAGAAGACATTTGTTGGGGTGATAATAACCTATTCTGTTTTAATGGGCATAGGAATGGGTTTCGCTTACTCTGTTGTTTTGGCCGTAGCAACAACAGTAAGTTGTATCCTTTGTTATTATTAAATGTATGCGACAGATTAGGATTATAAACCACAAGATAATAATTTTAAGGGCAAATCTTATGATATTTTTCGATGTGATCGCATAAGTCTTTATAATGGGAATAAAAGGATGAAAATGTTGAATAATTAGATTTGAAAAGCAGCAGTAATTTTCCACGATGAGAAAGTGTTAGACTTCCTATTAATATTTACTTAATTATACATCTAATGTAAAATATATGCAAAATATTCACCAAATCTAGACATTAGCTACACACAATTCTCTTTAAGACAGCCATTTATCTTTTGAAAAATTTGTTAGACAGGCTATACAACAGAAACGCAGCCGCCACAAACAATCTGGTGAGACATTGAGCTGGTTTGCTGCCCAGCATTCGTTTATGCAAACAAAAGTATTGGGGAAATTGCATTCTCCCCTTGTAACTTTATTTACCTAGAGCACTTGTAACTATCTTAAGCACTTTAAGAGTCTCTGAACTTCCTGAAACTTTTTGCGGGTGCAGTGCTCTTAGGCTCAAACAAAAAGCGTTTTTATCCATAAATATTTATGTAAAGTATAATGCATTACATTCTTCAGAGTGTGGTCGTGTTTTCAAAATCCATCTCGAATTTCAAACAAAACACAGAGGCACAGATTAACTGTTTTACTCGTAAAGTGGGTTGTTAGTCAGTTTATGAAAACTACATGCTGGTATGTATGAGGAGAATGCACCAGTCAAACTGGTATAGATCTTTATTCGCTCCGGTTTATAAGGGACGAATATTCCTAGGATAAGCACAAGTCGTTCTAAACAGGTGCAGTCAGAGTCCCAGATGGATTAAAGGCAGATAAGTTACATGCTTGACCTGAATTCTATTGATTACGTGTCATTCCAAAAATTTTTAGGGGTCATGCTTAATCATCAGTAATCATCGGCGGTTGTATACTGTGATATGTTATACCCGCTGATGTTTGATATCTGAAAGCAAAACGAGGGTTGACAAATTACGTCATAATAGTCAAGACAACGTAGCCAAAATTTACTTTTAGAGAATTTTAAGCATTGGTTCTGTTTTAAAAAATTTTGATGAGGCAGAGTAATAAAAAATTTTTATTTTTAAACTTTGTGAAGCATAAATAAAGAAACTCTGGTTAGATGAGAGTTGTTGTACTTGAGTTGCAGTATATTTCTTGTCGGCTAGTGAAAAATTGGAATCTGAGTTTACAAAATTTAGACATTACTTAACCGAAGAGAAGTAAAACGGCATTTATTATCAGTAGAGTGCATTATAGTAGCATCTTTATGTTCTCAGTGCAGCATAACACGCAAAGATCACATATAATATTCAAAAGGGCTATATAATGCGCTAGTGCAGGATGTAAGAATAAAAATGAGTTAAACGCATCTCAATCTTTTTATTTGCTCGAAATGCATTATATTTGGAGAATGATACGCTGTTTATTTGCTCATAACTTAAGCTTTATAGTCAGGCTGCTAAGTTGTATTTTTCGATTTCCTGAAATAAAAGTATCGACATCAACATGAAATAACTGACATACATTGACAGTCATAAAGAAAGCAGACAAGAGTAAGGTACAAAGTATGGCAGTGATAAAAACATGATTGTCCACGTTTTTCAGGAGCTTGCATGTTACCAGTTATACGGATGCTTTTATCCGTTTCATTATTAAAGACGGCCGTCAGCGTTGTAAGATTTCAAACAGTAGACGTTGAGAGTCATAACAATGTTTTTGGAAGTGTATTAGGACTATGTGTAGATTTTATCAACGAAAATATTCAGTATGACGGTTGGCTTAAATAAGAAAGTGGTTTGTCAGATAATCAGCTTCAAATGTACAACAATGATTATGGTGCCTTTCAATGATTTTTGAATCTTGAATTAAAGATGTTTTAGTTGGCATCGGAAGTTAAACAGATCTCAATTATCTTGTGTCAGTTCAAAAGAGCACTTTATATGATTTAACAAGAAGGTATAGACAGTCTGATTTCTTAGATCCGGTTCTAGTATCCCTCAGTGTAGGCTTAGTTATTCAGAGGCCATTTGATACCACATAAATAGTTAAATTCAGTTATCACGAATAATTTTTCGGTTTCCAGTTTTCCGATACACCTAACAGAATTTTACTTCAAATCGTTTAGTTAGAGTTTAATCTTGTTAATGCAAAGAATTCTGATTAAATGATAAGAAAACATTTTTCCAATTTAAATTATCTATACTGCAGTGGTTTCCAGAAAGGCGTGGATTGATTGTGGGACTTATTGTTAGTGGATTCGGCCTAGGTGCATTGGTTTTTGCACCTATTCAAACAGCTTTAATCAATCCTTCAAACATAAAAGTGAACAATGTTACACGGTAAGCACATAAAAACTACCGACGTTTTTTATTTCTATGCATCTTGTTTAACAGTAATTTCTCACTCATTAGACCTCCTGAAATTTAGTTAAATGAATAAAAATTTTAATTACTGTAGTAATGACAAATTAGATTCTTTACGCGTTTTGTATGTGGAAAAATAGCTTTGTTTGAGGATTAAGTCTTGTTACCCTTATTCTAATTGCAAAGCTGAATTACCCTTAAACCATCATGAATATAACGTTTGTGTTCCTGATTCTGCTGGCTTTTACTTTCTGAAGGGAAACCTTAGAAATATCTGAACCAGTATTATTACATTACTTGATTATTTAATTCCCATAACGAATTAACGAAAATATTATTACAAAAGTCGAAAGCGCTGTGTAGTACTGTCAAAAGTTTTATAGTCTAAAACCGTAAGACTCAAGAAGAGACTGCCAGCCGATTAGAAGTATTCATCGTTTCTTGCACTTCAGACAAATATAAACTACTGAATATAAGTTCGAGTAAAATGAAACTTTCTCTTAACAAGATTTATCGTGATTTTTAGTTACTGGTTCTAGACGTAGTTAAATCATCTCTTAAACAGAACAGTCACCTCCTTACATAGAGAATTAAATGTGGCTGTTTAGCAGTTGAGCTAGTCGAGTAATTTTTCCTCCATTTATGTGTACAAATATTTGGATACAGTTATAGCACCAGGATAGTATGAAAGAGATTTGAACTCTAAAACCATTTAACTTCGCAGCGTAGTGGAAGAGTAAATAAAACTACTTCAAAACGTTTGATACAGAGTGATTAAACTAGAGGATGGATATGCTAAGAAATTTGTTTCTGTTTTTCTGGAAAACGGATATAATCACAACTTAACAAGAGAATTCTTCACTTACTGTTGTTTTACTTCACTGAAAATGTCCAATGACAAGGCATTTGAAAAATAGTAATCTATTTTTTAAGTGACTGTTGTACACAGTAAATATCATATTTTGCATTCTACGTTTGTAACATATTACTAGTGCAAGGTTGGAGTAAATGTTGAGTGTGTAGGTTTTGCTGCTCATTTGACTCTATTACTTTTCGGTCAACATAGATAAAGTCAAATCGAGAAAATAAAATAAATTCAGAATAATTTTTCCAGTTCATCACTTCTCTTTTTTCCATCAAAAATAAACCTCCTTTTATATGAACTCGGAGTAATAAACAGTTATCATAATTTGATGGATTTTAATAAAACCTTTATATAAAGAATACAAATTTGATCGTCTCATAGTAAATACAAACACTGCAGTTATTTGAGTGAACAGCTATTCACACCTGATAAGACGAACGTTTATTGAATATGTGTCTGTGATAGAGAATTGACAGAAAATCTATTTACTCTTACAATCGAATTCTGTCCAAATAAAATTCACTAAAGATTTACCGACTCTTTATTATGGTTATGTACATGGATTACCTCATGTCGTGACCAACACACTCATTACTGGGTAAATATACAAACTGCTTAGAGGTAGCCTGATGAATAAGGATTATAGGAAATCTATGTTTTTCCTTATAAATGAAATAAAGGTTAAAATTCTAACATTAAACTTATTAAGAGGTGGTGGCTAATTGTTTAGCAGCCTCCACACTACTCATGAAATATTTCTTTTGCTTGATAAATATAATTTAGCTACATATTGTTAAGTGCTTGTCCTTTTTTTTCTCTAATCAGTGAGACTTGTGATTCTGTGGTTAATACCTTAATTGGGTTTTAAGAACAGTTACAACTTTAATCGAAAACTAATTACGCGAAACTATTGTAATCCGCCTTATTGAAGTCGGACATTTAATGAAGTCAACTTATCTCTTACACTTAGATGATGATATGAGGCATGCTTGGTTGTTGTTTATTCAGAATTAAAGGCCGACAGTAACACCAACCTGCGTGGCAAAATAACTTACTGAATGTAGTTTGCATTTTAAGAAAATTGCATGATATCAGTGAGCAGTTGCCACTTACTAATTGATAAGCAACGTTACATTTTGCCTCCAGGCATTCTAAATGATGGCATGAATGCTGACATCTTTCAAGCATATCAAAACGATTTGCAAATAAAGCAAACATTTACTTGAAAAATTAAAATATATGGGAATAATTGATATTTGCACAGTGAAAGGCATGGAAAATGATAATGATTTCGAAAAGATATTTCATCACTTTTGTCTTAATTGGTTTAAGATAGTTTTGATTCAACGACCTGAGCATTAAACTATTTTGACAAAAAAACATTCACTTGAACTTAAATTAATTTTACTGGGTGACTTTTTACTGTTCGCAGGCTAGTAATGGACTGTAAACTACAAGTGATAGCCAAATGTTTGTTTTAGAAGTTGTCTGTTGACTGTTAAAACTAGGAACATATTAAACATTTTGTACTAGTTGATGCAAATTTCAATAAATTAGATACGTTTATATGGATTACAGTTTTCATTGACTTAAATTATCATTATGTGAACATAACTTTCTGGCGACAACGAAGTGGAATTATGATTCTCTCAAGACTGCTCAAACCTTATATGTTTAGTATATAATTCAGAAACATGAAGTGTAAGAAATAAAAGCCATCTGGTTATTTCGAAAGCTGTGTAAAGTCAACTGAATCAGCTATCTTTGTCTAATTTTTCACTAGCACTTTAAACTATCTTGAACTCAGGTGGCCACATATATGGTGAGAATGCATATTATGCGTAATCCTACTTCCTGATCAATATTAATTAAAGTCTTAAATATTTTGCCAGAAAGTTAAAAATTATCAGAAAGTGCTATCCTTATATTTCTGAATTAATTCAATTAAAAAACGCACTTGTAAAGCAGTCCTATAGGTGAATTATGTATTGATTGCAATCGCTTTCAGTCTACCTGCAATTAATCATATTCAATGTTCACAACATAGTATCCTTCTGATTACTTTAGTGCTTTCCGTGTTGTTCTAATCAAGCGGTAGAGAGAACTTTGTCTACTACACTAAACAATCTGGAATGAAAATGAAGGATATATTTATTATGTATTCACTTAAAGAGTGCTCTGTATTTGTTTCTATTTATGCTTTGAGACTTTAAGTGATTTCTGTAAGTCGTGAATTGTTTAGTTAAACTGAAAATATTTTTTTAACCTGGGATATAAAGTTAAGAGAAGATTTTGAAAACAGTTATTGGTGTACTGAACAAGTGATTTCTATCCTTTGTGCATAAAATGGGTATTGTAAACATGTAATAGTGTCTTCATCATAGTGTTTGTACTAGTCACGTCTGTTGATGAGTGAATTTAAGTTAACTATTTAGTTCACAGCTTCTTTTGACTGAAATATGTGGTGTATTACGGATTAAGATCAAAATTAAGTTCTCTTGTATTTTATTGCAATTTAATCATAGACTAGTATGATAGGTGATTACGGATGAGTCAGGCACTAAGATAAATGCATAAAGGTGAACATTCGCTGTCTTTCGGTAGCCTATCCAATTACTCGTTAATAAGGCTCTTATAGATGAGATCTAAGTTAGGTTCAAATTACAGTGAAACAGTGATTAAATCATTACGTACCCAGTACCTACAGACTGAGCTAAAGGACAATTTAAGTTTGGCTTTCATTCCAAAAGTATTATTCTGCTACATGTAACTGCGGCCAGGGTAAACTTCTTTCACTTTGTGAAAAAGGAAGGTTTTATTAAAAATTTCTACAAGTGTCCAGAAAGGTTAAGAAAACTATAAAGCTTTTTGACTATCAGCATCCCTTAATTTTATCTTGATTCCACAATTTCAAACACCTACAATAAGTACTATATTCCTGTTAAAGTTTTTGAAACAGCTGTACTGACTTAATGGTATTTCCTGAGATTTGCCTCAAGTGGTTCCTGCCTTTTACAATACTATCATTTGATCAAGAAAACAGAGACTTGTACGAAAAATTACTGTTGTTCTTGCTAAGACGAAAATATGTGGTTTAGTTTGATTTGAGAAATATATCTAAGGTTTTGAAATAGTAAAAATTAAAGTTCAGGTCTATTTGCTCGAATTCAGAAACCTGAATCTCATGTCGCTTAGCTAATGGGAAGCAGCTTTATATTTCAAGTTGTGACGTTTAAGTAGCGACAATTAGTAGAAGATATTTATGCCTTATTCATTTTTGTTCTTTATTTTCATCAGAACATTTTTACGTTTACTAGTATGTTACATAACAAAATAAAACCTCAGGGTAAGTAGACTTTTACGTACTTCTAAATCTTGTGTTTTCGTTACTGGAAATGTCCTATAGACCTCTTATCTCTGTTATGATTCAAATTTTTTCCAGTGTAACTTTCGGTTTTAATTTCATTTCAACATTTGTCTTGTACAGCTCATATGAAGGCAGTGTTGAAAAGCTGTAGAAATTTAGCGAACTACAATTATACCCGGAAATTATAAACAGGACCGACTATTGTTTAACTGCCTGTGTTAGGTGTAGGTGTCTGAAGAACGTAAAGTAGTTGCTGTTACGAATTTATAAAATATTTATTCTGAGGACTCAAAGGAATGTAAGAATCTAACAGAGAATGCAAGGACTGCATACATAGTATATCCAACCAATTCTGCAGAGCTAAATGGTGTGCATTCAGTATTTCTTTTGAGACCACTTACTATTTAGCATAAATCTTTCGATTTTAGCACCTATTACAGACAACTGAATGTGGTAGTGGTGTATGAAGCAATATTTTAAAAATTCAGTCAATAAATTTTATTGTAAACTAGTTGCGCATACAACTTTGTCCGTCACCGATGGGTGAATAATCTATATTAATATTCGATAGATGCAAGAAATTCCATAAAGATCATATTTTTGGCAAACTATGACTTATTTAAAACGGTACTTGTAAGAGGAAGTGAACAGCAGGAATTCGACCAGATTGATCATTTAAACTGTAAACAATAATTGCTCCATGCTGTTTAAATCCACATTTTACGATATCGGAAAATAATCAAAGTTCTGTTTGTAAGACATTAGAAAAATAAATTCACTCGACATATAAAATCATTTGTATGTTCGTAAATTTTTCCTAATAACACTATGTTACGTGTATTACATTGATTTTTATAAGTCGCCTTATCTGATTTTATTTCCGATTATAAGCTGCTATTTGAAATTTATAATATGCACTTTAACTTTTGTTTATACATTAACAATAGAGTGATCATAACTGAATTGGTGATTGACATCACAGCATGGGATTCATTTTTATAGTGGACTGGTATGTTCGACTGCATTTATAGTGAGTTCAGATACAGAAACTGGATCAGATGATCTAAGCAGAAGATCTGAAGTGATTTTGGTTGAGTGTATGAAGACAATCTTGGTTTTCCAAATTTAGAAGAATTCTGTATGTTTCTGCACCGAAGTCACTAGGACTAATTCTTAATCTTATTGCATAACATTACAAGCAGTGAGAACCACTGCATTCTATCTGGATGTTAGCATGCATTTCTGAAATATATATTGGTTCACGTTTTCGATTATTAGTTTCTGTATAGCCGAAAGGCCACTAGACTTCACTTGATATCATTGATCATTTTGACTGACGACAAAAATTAGTAGACGTAGGGGTAGTGGAATGCCAGTCCTCTCTAACTAGGTGAAGCAACCAGCGTAAGAGATCTTCAACGATTTTAGTCACAGAATGCAGAATCGAATGCGCTTCAAGATGCAAAGTGCGAGACTTTCCATTTCTTTGTTTTAAAAAGGGAACTTTCTCGAGGAGTGAATATACACAGATTTTAATTGGGTTTTAAATTGGTTGGTGACGGCTGATGACTAGAAAATCACGATTTTACCAATAAATCTATGACACTGAATTGTTTCTGAAAGGTTAACTTGAATTATTTCAGATATTACAAATACAGTCTTTATGAAATAACGTTTCGTCGCAAAATGAAAGAAAAATTTCTGAAAAGCTCATAAAAACCGAATGAGTTTTGGACATTCTTATTTATTTTTCTAAAAAGTTTCATAGAGCTTTGTAGAGAATAAACCTGAGTTTCTCTTAGAAATGCTTACACTAAACGTCTGACACTAATTGATTTCAAGTTAAAACTAAAATTTATTCAAGTAGAAAACTTGACCGAAAAATTCACATTCGTTTTGATAAAGGTTATTTACTCTTGGTAGAGAAAAATTATTTGTGTGAGAATTTATCGTTTTCCTAATTTAAATATCTAAATTTTATTCTGAAATACTAAGCCTAAATAAAAATTTTCATAAGTCTGTCTTTTTGATTTCATGTATTTATAATCTGTCCTAACAGATAAGTGAAAAACTTTTCTATGAATGCATGTCACAGTGAAATAAAACTTCATGAATTTTAAGTCAGCATGACAGGCATGCGTTTGAAATTTTAAAAAGTAGTGCTTTGAATTCAAATTCAGACTGCTAAAATAGAAGAGTGACTCTGGGACTTTTTTTTAATGCTCTTGAAAACTGTTTTTGATGATCTTCTTTTTGATAGTAAACTGCCTAACAATGAAATCTACTTCAGTGTGATCGGAAAATGATTTTATTCTACAGAAATATTTTTATGCAGTTTGAACAGGTGTAGATATACACTAAGAGGGGATAATCTCGGTAAAATATTTTGAGGAAAAATAAAGATGTAATATTTGCACTCTAGACAGCAGAAATTACTATATATATATATATATATATATATATTTATATATATTTATATATATAATAAATTAATAAATATATATACATTCACAAAATATGGTGAGATATTTCTTAAATAATCAACTTGACATTGTATTAGTTCGTTTTAATTTGTGCACTTTCTGACCCATATTAGCCCTTAGAAACTGCTGGTTTAAATATCATTGAACAATAAGACAGATATTAAATTTCATACATCCGATTGGTCAAAATATCTGTGCATTCAGTATTTACTTGACATTTCTACCTGAAACAAGAGCTGATAAACAACCATATATGAAGTGAATTCACTTAATCAATTTACCTTTGATTTTACGAAAGCTTGTTTATATTAAGAAATTTTGAAGCGAGTGGGATGTTACACTTTTCTCAATACTTATGCCTTTGAATACAGCTAAACACTTAATAATGATTGAATAATACAATATAGCTGTAAATAAAGTTGACTGATATAGGTTGTACTTCTTGCAGTTAGATATATACTTCATTGTTGTAATATTTCAGGTTTGCAGCTGTCTTTCAACTTATTAGTCATAGTATATTACTTTTTATCTTAATGAAACGAATGGTTTTGATAGACAAAAGGAATTCAGCCCACATGTAACTAAATAAACTGTTTCTTGTATTTCAAGTTATATCTATGATGGAGAAGTGACGTTTGTTTCCACGGTCACTAAGAACAACACACAATGTTTATTTTTTCCATGAGTGACAGAAGACGAACTTGGATGTAAGTTAATGAAGAAAGAAATCAAGAATCTCCATTAGTCTGTAAGAACCAAACGAAACACTAAAACACCACTGTTAATGAATTCATTTAATATACCTATTATAATTGATTATTTCTTGCATTTGAACAGATGTAGCTATATAATTGTCATTTATCAGTATGAAAGTTAGAATGCTGAAAAATATTACCTTCATAGGTCTTGGCATATTACCCACAACTGGAGATAGCGTGAACAAAGTCTGAATTTTTCAGAGATAATGGAATTAACGACTAAAATATGAAACATTTGAATGGTCGTTTTCGTGCCGCTTTGATTTATATTCTTTACTCCTTGTTTGAAGATGGCCTAAAATGGGATTTAAGGCACCTGTTTTGTCACGATAAAGACTTATTAAAGCGGTTTATTTGCATTTTATTGACATATTCCAGCCATGTTTATCAACTGTTCATCTAGCTTAAAGTAAATGTTACATTTCGTCGTGAAACGAATTCCAGTTAGAGAGCAGTTGTCAATAATGGTGCACTGGATGATTGTTTTGCATAGGCTTGAGACTGTTCGGCTGTACGGACGCATAACACTAACAGCAATAGTACCTATGACGTGTAGAATGCAAGGCCGGCGCGTTTCTGAGTGATATCACATCGTGGGGAAATCGAACTATAGGTCAGTGAAATTCACAGAAATACAACACCTGAAAGATTATTATCCGCTAAGTGTGACTTTATTTTGAAGTTTATCAAGTGAATTATGGCCTGGCTATTGAAATAAGCTGTAAATCTAACTCATTTTTAATGAGATAATTTAATTATTCCTTTATTTAGACATCGATTACATTTTTCGGAAAATAATTCACTATGACTTCTTAATGTCTTTTTTGTCACAAATAATAATGGTCTATTTATGTATATCAAATGACCATTATTGTGAAGACGTAAGCAAAACCATAGAAAATGATGAAGTAGGGTCAAGTTTTAGGTTAAAATAAACACATCGAGGATGGGAACACAGATAACTCAACCAAATTCAATATAAATGATAAGAAGCATAGTAATTTCACTGATTTGTAAACCACATATAAAAATCTTCAGATAAGTAAGATAAGATTTATGTTAGCAGATCGATAAAAAAAGAAAACCAGTGCATATCATTAGCCATTTTGACTTAAAACGTAGTAATAATTACTTTTCTGAGGAATAATGAAGAAGATAGAATTTATTTCTTCTCATTTAAGAAGTTTGGAATTGCACAAAAATTAACAATGAAACTTCTGAAGATAAAATCAAAGGCTGGAAATAACTAAGGTATCAAATTACACCTACCATGATATATTAACATTAAAGCATACCAAGTTTTATGCTCTGGTATTTCGAAATTGTTGTCAAGTGTTTGACTGAACCTCTAAATAATGATTTTTATTAAGTGGACTTTATCCATATACCAAAATGCCTTTAGGAATGCTTAAAAAAATCTGCTATAAACTATGAGCTATAACTGAAAGAAACTGCTGCATCTTTTGACGTTTTTTTATAAATTTGCATAAAGACCTGATCTTCTGCTATAAAAATTGCTAATCTCGACGATCATACTTTCCGATAAGAAATAAATGACACTGGCAATGATTTGAACTTGGTACAACTGACACTACAAGTACAAACAACTCTGAAATTTAAATATTTACTGTAACTGAAACAAAAATGAATAAATTTTTGTTTTTTCAACGAAAAATAAAACAGAATTATTTGTATTTGTAATTTAGACATTTCACTGACAGAGAACTCCTCGATCACTTACCAAGAGCACTTTTAATTCTGGGAGGTATATTATCAGGGATTCAGATTATTGGTTTCATACTTCTTCGTCCAAGGCCTTCTTCGAAACAAGTAAGAAATATTTAAGTCACAGTTTTTTTTAAAATTATTTTATATTATAGGCTTCTGAGATATTTGTCGCTTTAAAGAGAGGGGTTAAGTTAACTGATATCACTTAAGGATCACGATATATTTCGAACTTACTTTGAAAGATCGTTTTAAGAATAAACTTTTCCAAAGTGTATAGACTTTAGACATTACTACTATCATAAGGATGAAATGATGCAAGTTACTCATGCTGTAGAGATAATCCGGCGTTTTCTGTTGAAATTTATTCAATAATCACCCGTTCCCTGAGAATTGATATTGAAAGATTATTTTAGAAGGTTTATAGAAAATGTTTTCTACTAAATTAAATAGTAATTATTAGTTTTATAATGCCATGTGAATGATTTAAAATGTAGAGGTATTCTTCGTCAGGAGTAACCTCAGTTCATAACCGCAGATGCCTGATAGCTGACTTTTGAAATAGCGCATGTCAATACACTGTGAAAATATAAGAGGAAAATGTTTCTAAGAATAAAGCTGATTTATTTCAGGAAAATTCTACAAGTCCCTAGTTTTATAAAAGTAACTCAATGAACGAAATAAAATGAAAAATATGCACTAATGAGGATTTGCTTTTTATAATATCTTTTTCAATATATACAACTATAATCGCACAAACTTTATACCATGATAATCAGTGGAAACTATGTAGAGTTTCGCTATGATGAAGTGATAATATAAGTTATTTCAAATTCATATGTCTCTATAAGAAAAATTAAAATCAATTCCTAACGATGATAGCATTAACAGTCATCTGTCATGGTATATATCTTTGTCATTGAAATATAAAGCTTTAATTGATAAAGTAGAAATAAGTGACTCCAGGTGAACTCTAGTAGTGATATGATTATTGTCATCATAAATAGTGTTAATACTGATATAATATGAGAACACATAGGTTTATAAGACAGCTCAGAGTACACTTGAGAAAATAGACGAAAATATCACGATATTGCACATAATATTTGCATCTAGAAATAGTAGGTTTGTCACGTGGTGCACTCGAAGACCATAGCAACAACTTCAATGAAGCAACCATCAAAAATGCACACTTTCTGTAAAAAGTACAACAACGTAATGTGTGGTACGACAGTCTTGATGTATGTTAATACCATATTTGCTGTCCACAAATTAATACAAAGTAAGACTGTCAAAAAGCGTATTACAAACACAGTGATATTCCATATACAGCGTATTCTAAAACATTGCAACAATCGAGTTCAATGTAAAGACAAGTGAAAATGTACTTGGTTTGAATTGTCAGATATGTATATTATTGAATATCTACGCGAAACTAAGTTTTATGCCTTCTGTGACAGAATATTAAGCGGCGATTGTAGAAGTCTATACTAAATTAAAATTCTACTGATTTATGCTATGCAACGAATCGGTTCATTGTACCCTGGCCTACTTACAAACGCCAGAATAATTTTCTATACACAAAAATCAATAATAACTTCCAATACAATTAATTAGACTGTAAATTTATTATCTGTCAGAGGTAGAATATTTACGCTTATTCGGGAGTAATTAATAATAATAATGGTCGTATTACTGTACAAGTATCAGTAAACTTATCAGACAAAAACGATTAATAAAGGCACAGACAGAGAGTTTTTGAGAAAGAGTAGATTGTTCATACAACAAATATTTTGTCTCTCAATTCATATCTACAATAATACAAGCTAAATCCATCTTGGAAAAACGTAGTTTTAGGATCATGTATGTTGTAATCCTAAGATAAATAAGTAAAAATATGAATCCTTATTTTGTAAGAAAGCCCAATGTAAGAGGAATTAGATATTAAATGCACTATGCTTATTTCAGTTGCTCATCTTAATTACCATCACTAGTGCTGTCTTTCGTCATATGCACATCAATGCAATGTAAACTATTTTTCAAATGTCCAAAGTAATCTATTTGTACTGTCCTATTCTTCTCTCATAATTTATTATTTTAAACTATGAGAACTCTGAATGGGAGACTAAATTTTGTACTAATAAATATAAAAAGTAGCTTTAATGGTTTTTGACCCGTATTTTATTCAGAGTATTCCTTCATGTAGGGTTATGCGTCTCAGATAATTCCTAAATAGTGTTGGCGACATAATATTATTGCTCAATTCATAAAATTTTCTCCAATTCCCTCTACAGTTTCTTAACCTGATATGCACAAATATATGCATACTTATAATCTGCATAAAAGTGATTTAAGGTCACAGTAGGTTGGCTTGCATGAAGAAATGTGTACAGATTGATTCACAGGTTAATATGATGCAAATGAACTTAGGAACACATGAAGTGAATAAGCAAGGAATTTATAATCACATACCTTTTGAAGGAAGTAGCTAAAAATTGCATAGAATCAAATGAAACGACATATAATCAGGTCACTGTTATTAAAATGGTAAACGGAGAGAAGTGGCACTTTGAACTGTGTAAACTAATTCATTGCAATAAACCTTAGTGTGGTGAAAGTAAAATCATATATTAAATTGAAATGTGTCGACAGAAAGCTAATAAATTACATTTCACATGAAAAACTTCAGGAAGATTTTCTGGAAGTAGTGTGCAAATAAATACCTTCTGATACTCATTTCTCAACTGACCGTTTTTCCTGAGTGCAACATACACAATGTAGATGGAAGTTTGACCATTATTATTATTATATCCTTTAATTCCTAGAGGAACATAGGGCTTCAGCTGCGCATCTCCATTGCCTTCTGTTTTCTGCCAACTTTTTCATCCCATTCCAAGTCTGCCCACATGCTTTCATATCCTCCTCGCATGGCCTCCTCCAAGTCACTCTTGCACTGATGACCAACTCGCCGCTTCCCTTTCGGGTTCCACTCGAGCGATGGCTTGTCTAGTGATGTCACTTGATGGTTTCCTCATACTATGGTCAGCTAATTCATCTCCATTTCTTCCTGCCTATTCACTTCACAATCGGTTCCTGGTTGGTTCGCTCCTAGAGATCCCTGTTTCTGATATTTTCTGGCCCGCCATCTGATCTTGAGTGGTATTGAGCGAAGACAACTGTTAATGAAGGTCTGAAGTTTGTTTGAGATGTTCTTCATGACGCGCTGACCAAGTCTTTGATCCGTATAGTAGCACTGACTGACTTCACATTGGAGTTGAAAATCCGAATCTTATTTTTGATGCTGGGTGATGTTGGCCTCCATACAGACTTAAGGGTAATGAAAGCTAGTCTTGCTTTTCCGATTCTGAGTTTGATATCCTCGTCAGTTGAAACGATGTTTCCCAGGTAGGTGAAGGAGGTTTTTTCTTTCAGGTTCCTCCCATTTATGCTGGCTGATTGTTGTCTGTTGTTGTTGCTGCTGTTGGTGTTGGCCAGGAATCTTCATCACCTCTGTTTTATCTATGTTCACCCGAAGGCCTATCTTCTCTGGATGCTTCTTCTGCCAACTTGTTGCTTTTCACCTGCATATCTTCCAGTTTGTGGGAAATCAGACATATATAATCGGCGAAGTCTAGATCCTCCAGATTCTCTTTTTGTGTGAGTCCATTTTATTACCGTTTCCTCATTGCCCGTCGACTGTCGCATTATCCAATCTACTGCATTCCCGTCCTCACTTCGAAGGCTTCCGTAAGTTTCCCGTTGTGGATTACTTGGCATGCAGCATTGTCGTATAACTGTTGGATGAGATGTACAATTGTCGATGGGACCCCGTAGTAGCGAAATAGTTGCTAGATGACCTCTCGATCGACGCTGTCGAAGGCCTTTACAAAGTTGACGAAGTTGAGATAGAGAGGTGACTGGCATTCCAAGCTTTGTTCAGTGATGATCTGTAGAGTGCCGATTTGATCTATCATTCATCAATTTCTGATGAACACAATAAGATGATGACTATATACCCATGAAGGCTGTAAAATCTTTGGTGCATAAAAGTGTATGTAAGAAGGTATTAATGAATCTCATTCTTTTACGTTTGTCATCTAAATAAACGATAAAACATTTAAAAAGAAAACAAATACAGTTTTTACTGCTTACATAAATTTCGGTGCAGCCAGTTTTGAAAGCGACAATGGTTTGTTTAAGATTGCGAGTAGAATCTTTTTTAGGATTCTACTACTTTACAAAATGAATTGTTGTGTTACATCATGACTTCATATGTTAAACTTAAACAAAAATGAAATATGCTTAGATGATTGTGATAAAAGTTATAACCGAGTGTACTGTCATAAATTTAATTTTAATAATGAACTATTATTTATTGTTTCTATCACTCGATTTCATGATAGCCATTGTAAAGGACACCAGACTAATCATTGTCCTAATGAAAAATTCACCGATAGACATATTGTCACGCACTTTATTTGTTTAGTCATAGTGCTATCATTATACTGAAGATGGATATCGATTCACCATTACATATGGTTATGCTGTCAGTCTGTGAAATTAGGAACAAAATTCACCATTTATAAAGAGTTGAAAGGGTATTAAGAGCTGCATATTGAGTAATCCAGTACCTTTTCTCTTCATTACTGAAATATTTTGGTTCAGTTTTCAAAACTGACTTAATTCTTGTTATCTTCAACTTGATTCCAACAGAAATGACTGTAAATGAAATAATCTGTTCTATTCGGATACTGATGTTTTACAAAAATGTCAGTGAAACGTAAAGAAATTATTTCTTCAGCCAACATAATAATAACACTTCATGAGAATCTGCGAATTCATTAGCACCCTGAACTTCTCCATTCATATATTTAGATTCATTTGTCCAGAACGTCCATGTTATTGAACAAAAAGTGATCAAGCTTCCGTTTTCAGGGAACCTTAAATTAAATTACAAAAGAAGGTCACAGTGGATTCATCAAAGAAAGTTATAAAACTCAGTATATTTATTTGCTGAAATTTTCCTTTCAACTTGAAACTTTCACATAGTGTCATGACATAAACCAGTTCAAAATCACGCTACTTTGCTACAGCTTTGTTAAGTCAATAAGGAGCAACTACTATAGTAGGGATGATAAGAACAGCTCTGTTTCATTCTTTTTATGTCTTTTAAGACTAGCAAACAGTCTTTAATTTAAAAATAGGAACCAGTAGTACAACTATTTCACTTACAACGTTAACCGCAATCACCATGCAGTAAGCGCAAAAGTTCTTCGAAGTGGATATGGCTGGCCTCTGTTACCCCTAGGGGCATGCAAGCACGAGTTAGATGATTTGACTCCCGAGTATATTTTGAAAGCACTTTCAAAAATAGTAAATTTTCACTTATACATAAGGTTTCTGCAACTCAGGTTGTCAGTGATTCTACAAACCTATTTGTAAATGAGATTTGAAATCTACTGGTTAAACTTCTACTGTCAGCCTGTCTGTTTGTTTTCGACATAGAACTGTGCACAAATGTGCGGATGTTCAAGTCGCCACACTCTGTGTAGCACGCGAAGCAAGAGAAGAAAGTACAAGAAAAGCATAATAGAGAAAGTCAGCAGAGGTGTGAGACAAAGGAGTAATAACGAAGAACAAAACAGTTTCATTGGAGATCATAAGTCACAAGGAGTGGATGCATCTGCGCCAGTGAGAACGATTTTGAGCCATGTCACCAATTGTTTCCAACCATAGATTTTTACCGTCCCGAGGACCCCAACCAGGAAGTCTACACCTTCCTACGTGGCTTAGACCAACTGTTGTGGATTTCATTGACTGATGCCAAGTTTTTGTTTGACCGCCGCTAGCTTTTTTCCAGCCTGACCCTATATCCGCTAACATTGCTCGTCGAGGGAGGCGATGGCTTGGCATACGTAACACATGTCCTAACCATCTCAGTCTATGTAACTTCACGACTTCGTCGATTGATTTCCCCTGTTTACCTAGAACTCGACGCCTAACCTCAATGTTGCTCACCTTATTATGCCACTTCACACGGGAAATAGAGCGCAGGCACCTATGATCAAAGACAGCTAGTCTTTTCATGTCTTCCACTCTCAGTGGCCAGGTCTCACAACCATAAAGGAGGACGGAGCGGACTGATGAGCAGTACACCCGCCCTTTGGTCGATAGTCGAACATCTCGTCTACGCCAGAGTCGGCGTAAACTGACAAATGCGAAACGAGCCCCCTGTATTCGTGCTGAGATTTCGTCAGAGATCAACCCGTTGGCACTGGCTGATGGTACTTCCCAAATAAGTGAAGCGGTCAACGTGCTCTACCACTTCACTTCCTATTTTTAAACTAGGCGTCGATGTAGTCCAGTCCTGTAACATCATCTTGCATTTGGCGGGAGCGAATCGCATGCCAAACATTCGTAGATTGCGGCTCAAGGTGTTTAGAAGACTCTGCATTTCGTCAGCGTCTTCGCCTAGAAGGACTATATCGTCTGCATATTCCAAGTCAACGAGATTATTCCCTGGTAGCAAGTCAATCCCTGAGTCGCTGAAGTCACTTAGGGTTAAGTCCATTAACACATCTATGATGAAGTTGAATAGAAAAGGGGATAATGGGCATCCTTGACGGACACCACTGGTCGTCACCAGTTCAGATGACAGCTCGCCGTAAGCCCTCACCTGGCTGTATGAGTACGAGTAGAGTGCCTTAATCAGTGCAATATATTTTCTCGGAATTCCCTTTACAGCCAAGCATCTCCAGAGAACTCTCGATCGACAGAGTCGAATGCTGCCTTTAGGTCAAGAAATATAATGACTGTTGGACGCCGGTAGGAATGCCTATGTTCTAGAATCTGTCGGAGGGTGAAGATATGATCAATACACCCTCTTCCTGGTCTAAAGCCTGCCTGGCTCTCTCGTGTTTGTGCCTCCCGAGCACCACTCAGTCTACGCATGATTATTGAGCCTAAGACTTTAGATACTATATTAGTCAAGCTAATCCCTCTGTGATTATCACAGGAAGACTTGTCTCCCTTCTTGTATATGGGGATAATCAGTGACTTACACCAACCCGATGGGACTTCTTCTGATTCCCAGACGCTGCCTAGTACCTCAGTTAATGCGGACAGTAAGCTGTCTCCACCGTACTTAAATACCTCTGGAGTCATTCCATCAGGTCCCGCTGCTTTGCCTAGTTTCAGATTGGTGACAGCTTTAGTAACCTCAGTTAAGGAAGGGACCTGTGTCTATATCCCATTCAGGGAGGTGTTGGATGTTCGGAAGGTTGAGCGTGGCTGTGGGCCAATTAAACTGCTCCTCATAATGTTCTTTCCAGTGTTTCAGTCGTCTATCCTGGGAGCTAATTATGGTGCCATTTTTCTCAGAGATTGTTTCACTTATGATTTGCCTTCTCCCACCCGTTTCCCTGATGAGTCTAAATAGTTGCCTGGTGTTGCCTATCCTCAAAGCTTTCTCCATCTCTTTGGCTTTTTCACCCACCACTGTTCACGGTCCTTGCGGAGACTTTTCGTAAGTTTCCTCTTGTGCAGCTTTCGCTCCTCATTGAATTCGAAGCTCGCCGGAATAAGTCTTCTAGCATCTATCAGTTCGGATGAGGTGGTGGAGATCCAGTGGTTTTTACTCACCTTTGGGTTTACCTTATTCACAGCTTTTACAGCTGTATCTATGGCTGCCTGGATATTCTTCCAAGCTTCTTCAGGGTGAGCACAGCTGTCGAACACAGATATGTGTTTAGCTAGTTCTTCCTCAGATAGGGATTTAGTTTCCTGATCGAGCTGGGGACGTGATGGTTTTACCGCCAGCTGTTTCCTACGTCCGTTCAGTCGTAAGCACACCCGAGCGCGGACCAGTGCGTGGTCGGAATCTACACACTGTCAGCCTATGAGCGATGTATAGATTTACAAGTGAAGCTGTTACATTTTTAGTGACAAATTATAGAGCAAAAAGCGAAATAGTGTTGAACTATATCAATTACTTTAGCTGCTTTTACTGTGATAAACCTGTTTCTGCTATCTTAGTCACTATTTTTTACGGACTGTCAATATTTAATTTTCACTACTTAGGTATCGTTGTGGTTTCAGATAGTAGACATTTATGACATTTGAGGACTTCTTTTGTCGCCTCTACTGAACGAAGTTTCAGTGTGTCCGTCTGTTTTTCTCATATAATGTTTAGTTTTCTTTTTATTTATTTAATAAAAAGTGCATTTATCACAATTGCAAGGTTGAACTATTAATTTTAGAGTTCTCAAATTATTTATCACAATACCACAGCTTCAGTATTGATTTATCATTTTATTATTATTTTCTACAACTTTGTTTCTTTACAGTCAAGTGTGAATCAGAAAGCACAAATCTCAAAGTAAGTCTGTTGTTCAGAAGCAACTGTCTCTAATGCAGATATTTCTTTTTTATCATTTATAAAGCCAAGATTCTTGTTAATGAAGTTTCCAAATGTACTTTTTTAAAATTTTTAACCTGCTTTTAGCTCTTTCAATTGACAAACTACTTCCTAGCACAAAAAGATACTTTCCAACATCACATACTAATCATGTGGTAGCTGAACAATTAAGTCCTCTTTTGTATTTAACGAGTCGCAACTGTGAAAAGAAGAGAATATTTCCTGTGTTTTGTAGGGAAGGAGATATACGGAACGAGGAGTAAAAATTACATTTTTTGCTTGCACTGAACAACAAAACGTATAAGAGACTTAACTTAGTAGTTTGTTAACATCTAGTAAAACTAGGTGAAATTAGAAGAATATTCAGTCCTGACACATTAAGTGACTGAAGACAACTTTTCAGAAACTTTCTATTGTCTTTACATATGTCGATGTGATTAAATAAATAGAGTTGATAGAGAATAATCCAACTTACTGAAAGATACTAAAATGCAAACATCATCAATAGAGTATGCTGGAGATTTGCACTTTTTCACCACTTTCAAATAAAAATTCACGGTCTAAGTATGAAAACTGATAGAATTCTGTATTGTCTAAAATAAAGTATACCACACAGCATTTTACAGAAATATAAACCATACGTAACTATGATACTAGTAAAATAAAATAATATAGTAATTAAGTCAATGCCTCCTTATTCAAAACACTCATTCAAGCAAATGTACGGTCACAGAATTAAAGTTGCCTTTTGAAAGGCCTAGTACTTCAGATAATATTTTCTCCTCATATACTAGGCTAAAGATTAAATTAGGCAAAACACAGGCCGTTACAAACAGCTTACTTACATGAGTCTTGGTGAATATTACAATAAGTTCTAATTCCCTGCAGAGTGAAGGAAACATATCGTTATTTTACCTACCAGAAATTAGGCCTTTCTTTTGTAATGTTTTGATCTTTAAATATTAGAGTTCCGTGAATTTTTGAAATTACATCACTCTAAATATTTTAGTTTCGAGACCGAAATTTCCAATAACCTGATAGTCTACCTACTAATGATTACTTCTGTTGCTAAAAATTCCAAATTCCTACAATAACTGTATAGATTTTCCAAACACTTTCCAAAAGATACTTAAGAAGTTGATGAATCTACTGACTTAGCCTAGCTGTTACAAGTTCACGAATGAATGACTGATTTCAAAGAACAAGTATAATAGAACCATTGTTATTCGCTTGGATAAGTTGCTGGCACTAAAAATGCTATTAAATGGATATTTGTATTTTTGTGAAACACCGACATGATGAATTCTTTTGATTGCTGACAGGTAAGTTATTTACATTTACACTTGATCGATTTAATCACTAACTGCGCCGAAAACCAACATTCGTCAGTATACCTGTATATATGTATATATTAATTTATTTATAACCGTTTGAAGCCAAGTCGTAGGTAGATTGGCTTTATTGTTCAAAGATTTCGAGCACTCTTAATATTGTTTCCTTTTTGAAGGTAGCATAGTTTATTATGGAAGTTAGGGTATTTTGACCTACAGATGGAAAAATGCTACTCATGTTACACTAGAATTTTGTTACTATAATCTGTGTATTATTCCTTTTTATACCTCTTTAAATTGCGAAGAGTACGACCGTTAAAAACAGTATCATTTATGAAGAGTAATGACTAAAACGTATTGCAACACACTAATCGGAAAATGTGAGGAAACTTTACCAAAGTAACAGCTTATAATCCGCAAAGGTTCATAATTCATAAACTGGGGATGATTATCTTTTATTTAATCTTCTTTACTCACCAAATGGAAGAAAAAACTTAATGACCATCCAAAATCAACTATGCTGTTGGAAGGTTGAGTGACTTGTAGACAGTCAGCAAAAACTGTGACATACGTCTTACCGATGTATTTAACAGGTTTTTAATATTTCTAACAGACTGACTTGTCTGTTACCACTTCTCTGCCCTGTGTGCACTGACGAAATTGTGATAGCAATTGCTGAGTCACTTTCCTGCAAGAATTCATTAATAAATCTTTTTGTGGAGGACTACGTTTTTGCTCTTTTCATCTGTGCTTCCATATAGATCACCCAACAAAGATAGTTATGCTGAATTAGCTTATGCTCACATTTACGCTAAAATTAACCAAGTAGTCCCATGTTTTTCTGAACAGACGTCTTCTACAGCATCACAGCGTATTACCCCAAGAATCACTTTAAAGCGATGGCCACTGTCATTTTTAAATTTTGAATGGTTATTATCAGGCTAGTGAAATAAAGCTTTTGACAACCAAATGATAGCTTCTTCTTCAGTGTCTTACTGATAACCAATATTTAACCAGTCGTATTTTATGGATTAATCGGCCATTTGAGACAGATCTCTGTTGTGTTTCTAGCTTCTCACAAAAATTTGATTACTTTATGTATATAAAAAGTAGATGTCAGTTGTTCAGTTAATTTAAAAAAAATAAAATGTGATTTGTGAATTATGACATTTTTATACAGTGAGTAGTTAAAATGTATTCATATGAAAGGGTCACCTCGTTATTACATGTAACGAACTGATTTATTGCAATACATTTATATTGCGTAGACTGAATATAAATTCTCAGAAATCAGCAGGAGACTAGTAATTATCCTTCAAGTATCTTTCACATGCGCGGTGAACACGAGGATGACAAAGAGTTCTAATGAGAGCTTATTTAAATCTTCGGTGACTCATTTCATATGGAATGTTGAAATCACAGATAAACGATTTAATTTTTATAGGCAATCATAATTCTTCTGTTTAAATGAATAAAAATTACATAAAAACGATATCTGTCACAATTAATTTCTTAATTCAGTACATTTTGATTAATTTTCTAAATACAATTGAATAGAACTTTATATCTTTTCAACGTTTAATTTGTACTTTTAATTATCTAATTTAGTGTTTTTTTAAGTTTTTTCTTAAAATTTGAAAGAATAGGAGATTGTTTGATGTTGGGTCCTCATGACAATACTTTCGCACAATAGTTGGCTCCAGTCTTAAACATCAGCTTTTCAAATTAAAATGTAGAACCAATTTTTTATGAATACAGAATCACACATTCTTTTCGGTGTCAGTCTAGGCAACTAACATTACTGAAGAGTCTGTTTTGCATAGTAACGCATCTGATAGCCACCAAAAGATTATTGATTGAAATGATTTCTCTGCAACAGAATGTTTTGAGAACTCTAGGAAAGTAATTATATTTACCTGCTAGTAGTGTTTACAGTTCAATGTGCGTCATACAAATTATGACATTTTTAAAATACTACTGTTAAAATTTGAGCCTTGGAAAGGCAGAATAATTATACAGAAGCCTATCATGAAAATCTGTTATGTTTTCCACTCATTGTTTGGGAGGTAACTGCTTCTTTATCAATTTATTCGACAATAAAATAATTACAAGTTGATGTTTTAATATAAAACAATGAATGTTGGTTATGATTAGTTGCTTATCGAAACTTAAATGAGAGTGGCAGAAGAAGTCCATCCACGCATAATCTAACACTCATAAATTCCCTTGAAAGTGTGTTACTTAACGGAGAAATAGTCAGAGTCGAAAACACAGCTTTAAGGCTTCCTTAGCAAAGAAGAAGTTAGGAATTTTATATCTTTTTCTCTTAAATTGATTTTCTGTCTTTCCGCAATGAAAAATTAAATAAAACATACAATTAAATTTATTTTAAGTGGGTATTCCTTTTTTCTTGACAAATTTCGCATATTTTAACAGTATAAAAATGTTTTCTACAAGAGAGAAAGAGGTAATTTATGGTTGAGCTCATGTTAAATTGTGTTTCTAGTTATTTTGTTTCTAAAGTTTAACCTGTTTATGAACTTGACTTTACTATACTTTAAATATAAGACATCCAATACTCTGTAATTTCCGTTTATTATACAGGAATTAAAGCTAGGGCTGACTGCAAGATATTCGTTAATTGCTCAATCTATTTTTTCATTGATATGAGTCTCCATTTCTGATTTTTCAACTTCTCTTTATGGTATCTATGGTAACTCAGTAGCAATATGACGTTAGGAATATAGGACTGGTGGTTTCTGGATACAATTTTAGGAGGCTTTAGAAGTTCATTAATAGTGTGCTTTAAATTCCATATAAGTCAATCGTATAAGTGCTAGACAGCGGAAAACCTCTAACTCTTTTTAGTAGTCATACTCAGAGATATCGTCTTCTCTGTGTTATGCAAGTAAAAGATTGACAGAAAACGTTAAGCGCTAAATCTTTCTGCTTGGTATTCATTAAGGGTCCAGTAATGTCATATTTTTGTGAAATACAAATGTGCCCGTTAAAATGATACTGAAATGAACTGTTGGCCTTTTTTGTTGCTGCCTAATTAGTGAAGTAAACGTATCACCAAAGCAATTGTTTCGATGCATCGACTTCTATCTACTTTGGCTTGTGATGTTCTTCAATATTATTCCAATTACCACAATCACATCAACATACAAAGTGGGTAAACTTCATTGAAATGTATTTTGTTTGTCATAATATGTTCGTTGTTATTCAATTTATTTTACACAAATTAAGCTAACATTCTAAATAGTTTACTGATATCATTTTTCAGAAGTCGCAGAGAAAGATTACAAAAGCATCGTATACAATGTCTGAGCACGGATTTTTAATATTTCACTAAACAATTTTTCACTAAACACAGTCAAACTGATAAGTTTAATTGTTTGAAATCCATCTACTTTGATATGCACATTGGCTCCAGAATTCTGTGTGTGAGAACATTACCCTTTTGAGAAACTGAATTGGCTGCGTAAATAGATCACTTCATATGTGTTGAATGGTTTCTTCATCTTATGATACATCATATATTTCTATTGATGGATATTTATATATAACTACGGTTCTGTCTACAACTGGATGCTAAACTATAGGATTAGGTGTGCAATCTTGAAATGACATAACACCATAAATTTTCAGTCTAAATAATCTGAGCCTCTGCGATTTTATAACAGAATAATTTTTTTGATGTAAAGCAGTGTTACTAACCCACCTCACTGCTCATACTCGTCTTAAATGATGTTGCTGGGAGCATTAAATCAGACTAGAAATGTTATCAGCAAGTAAATAATACTTTATCTGTTATGCAATTCTACTCTGCTACATTCCCACTGACATCCTCTATCCTGTATTTTTATAGTAATGCTAACTTGTAAGCTTGTTGACATTGAAAATTATCACTGATGTCTCACTAAAATGAACTGGAAACTGGAATAAAAATATAAGCACTTTTAATGCTAATACACACACTACGTCTTGAGCTAAATGAAATTAACATTTTTGCTACGTTTTCATGCAAAATCTTTTTTTTCTTAATGTTCCCAGTGGAATATAGGGCTTCAAGCTAGAGGCTTGAAGTTTTGGTAGCAGTGGTGATTATTTTTACAGGATGGGGTTGCTAGCCTCATGCCTAACCTTCCCTCTTTGCCAGTTTCACTACTGGCTTAGCGAGGAAAAGGAGTACATCGGCCGGGGATCAAACCCGGACCACCTACGTAGTCGGCGAGCAAACTACCGCTGCGCCACCATATAACAATACTTAACACAGGAGATATAACGCAAGCACCTGTGGTGAAAACAACTAAATTTTTAATTTGAACTCTCACTATTCACCTTTCTTACTTTACTTCGGCTATCTCCTACGGGAGGATGAGCCGGCTTCATGAACATCTCGAATCATCGCTGCCCAGGCGCTGCGATCTGATGCAAGGTTTTGCGACTGGTTTATCCAATTCTTGTTACACAGACGGAGTCCGTAGACGGTTTGTAGCCCCAGGCACCCCATATCAACCTCGACTTTACCAAGCGATGTTTTCAGCTGTCCACCCCTGCAACATCGCCAAGATGGAAATGGCGAGGGATTTGGAACTGATTTGACCAGATCGTCTTCTGGTCGGCGCAGAACATGGACAAACCACCGAAGGCGACGTTGTTGGACCAGTACTGGAATTTGGTTGATGTTGTAGAGAGTTCATGAAGTTTCATGACCCCAGCATCGCTCGGCTTTTTATTTGAAAGTGCAGCTCTAGCCTTTACACAACCAAGTGTGACCTACAAGGCAGTAGGAGTGGAGTAGGGAGTCCACTATCATTTGCAGCCGGTGACCGGAGTCCGGTTCATACGCCTTTTTGAATGGGGCCAGATATCCAGGGTATCCAATAAGCCCTTTGTCCATACGTCTGCCGGTGAGCTTCATACGCCAGTCGTTGGAGGTTTGGAATCAGGGTTTAGCCATCTCCCCCAGACTGTCATCCAATGGACAGTCAACCCGGTGAAGAGCGCCGGGCATCCGCTTTTGCCCTCTCACTTCGGTTAAAAACACCTCCGCCACGTGAAGGCAGTGAGCAGAACTTCCTCAGGAGAGGCTATGTAAGACGCCCGGTGATATGGGAGCATTTCAAGAGGTGTACGGAGGGGTGGCCAACCCGCAGCGCAAGGCACCCACCCCGACCACCCTGAAGTTTTGGAGGCTATTTATTCACCTATAACAAAGAACTGGTTTGTACTACAAGCGTCCTTTGTTAGATACTGGGATATCATGTCGACAAATACCAAACAAGCTTTTTGTATACAGGATTTCATCATGAGCTGATATTAGTTAGAGAACAATTGGAAAACCTGAGAGCACTGGACAGCTGTTTCGTCCTAGTTTGGGGCTCTTCAGCAGTACGCACCCACCGGGGTTTGAACCTAGGACCAGTAGGGTGCAGCAGGTCGGGTGTGAGGACAAATACTCGCCGAAGACATTGACTGGGGTCGCGCTATGTCGTTAATTGGCAGAAGTTAGAATTCGTAGGCCATTGGAACGGGTCCCGGTGGCTTAATGGTATACGAGCTCACCTTGTAACCAGAAGGTCCTGGGTTCAAATTCCAGTGGATGCGTTCTGCTGAAGAGTCCCAAACCAGGACGAAACAGTTGTCCAGTACTCCCAGGTTTTCCAATGGTTCTCTAACTAATGTCAGCTCATGATGAAAATCTTGTAACCAATCAAATCCCAACAAACCAACACTAGAAGCTTTTTGTAAGCTTGCTGATGTTTCATAGAAAAACGTTGCTCAAACTAACGCATCAACTCAACATCTCAGAGTGAGGATAAATATCAATGTTTGTTCCAAGCACAAGACATTTGAGACCTTAAAGTTGAATTGCTGTCAGAAGAAAAAAATAAGTAAAATTGTTTTACGTTTGTCACTGTGTATCCACAAATAGCATACTTTTACGATTTACTTAGTAAAAATAATTTTATATCTCTTACTGAAGTCCTACTCAGAACATTTGACTTGCAATCGGTTTTGTACACTTAATATATGCTCGTTACAAATCACTCCCAGGCAGAGGCACTTCTTGATATCGGTAAACCAGTAATAAGATTGGTGAAGAACGGTTTGGCATGAGTTTAGCAGCTTCATGCCGTAAAAATAAACTTCACTGCTACCGAAACTTCAAGCATCTAGCTTGAAGCCTTATGTTCCACTGGAAACGTAAAGGAATAAAAAAAGGTTGTGTATAGAATGAAAATTGGGTGTGGGACGAGTTTCACAGTCTCGTAAAAAATACCACCGCTATTAAAATTTCGAAGTCCTTAATTGGAATAGCATGTTCCATTGTGAATGTAAGGAAATAAACAAAGTTTTTAGCTCAGAAACATCAATTTTTCCCGAACCTTTCTGAAACATATCGTGGGGTAAACTGACGTAGAATTAGCCTGCGGAATGAAGTAAGTAAACAGCCTAGGTGAATGCGTATTATCTGCTGATTCAAAACTCAGGTACATTAATATTCACAGAAAGATGTACTCAATGACTATCTGTCTGTAAACATTTAGTTGTACATTCCTGTAACAATAAAACTATGGGAATCATGTCTCTGTTTCAACCTAGTATTTGGATCAAAGTGCATAATTCTGTATGAATAGAAGGGTTTCATTCTTTGTAACTTATAATAAAACTACCAGATAGCATTTGCGTTAAAATCAGCTTGGTTTTATAATAGGATTTACATTTAAAAGACACTGGAAAGTAATCCAAATTTCATTACATTTTGTATTTCTTTAAGCAATTCGGTCAGACATATATTTCGGACGACAGATTTCTATCGGCCATAGTAACTGTTTCATCACTATTCAACTGTGGTGGTCGCATTTTGTGGGGCTCTGTTGCTGACCGACTTTCATTTAAGGTAAAAGCAGCGATATAAGTTTTCCGTATCTTTACTTTTAAGATGTTATAAATTTGTGCTAAAATTTAGCATGTATGATCCCAAGTTTTAACATTTTTTCATGTGCTCATCTGCCAATTTTCCGGGTTCATCCATTATTTTATTATAGATATACAGCAGACAAATATTTGTTTCCTCACGATAAAACTGTTGTGAATAGGGGAGCTTAAAACGGTGATAAATGTGGGTAAAAACTTTGAACTCAAGGCTTTCCTCATTCTTCTCATCATTTGCTTCGCATAATAACAGGGAGAAAGTTAACTTATTCTTATTCCTTTAGGTTCCAAAGGGAACATAGGGCTTCAACAGGACGTCTCTATTTTGCCTTATTCTCTACATTCTTTTTCAGTTGACCCCATAGTTGCCCATAGGATTTTATCTCCTCCTCATACAATCTCATCTGTGTCACTTTTGTGTGCAAAGCTTGTCGTCTCCCACTTAGGGTTCACTTTACGGCCTGGCACACGATGTCAGACGCCTGTTTCCTAAGTGTGTATCCGATCCATCTCCATTTCTTTGGCATATTTGTTGAACAGTAGGTTCTTGATTGGCTTGTTTCCATAGTATCTTGGTACTTATTCTTTCTGGCCATCTGATTTTCAGTATGGAGTGAAGGCAGCTGTTGATAAAAGTCTGCTGTGTTAAATATGCTGCTGTTACTTATTTACTTTTCACTAAAATAAAATGAGTTCAATCCCAGTAAACACTTGTTTTACTCATACAGAAAATAATAGTATTTGTATCCTTCTGTCATCGTTGTTTCATTTTATCAATTCTTTTTTTAATAAACTAATGTCCTTTATTTGCATGAAATAATGAATTCACCTGAAATATTGAAGTTCCCAATTCAAAGTCAATGGGGTTTATATTTACTTTTAGTAATAACCCTAAATAGTATATAGTAGCTTCCGGTTATGACAAACATTATTCTTTTTATCAGAATCATTATTTTGTAGCTGAGTCGAAGGCTTATCTATAAAACACTAGAGTATGACGTTGGTGGTTGTATCCCATCTCTTCATATAGCATCTTTGTCGTTTTAAACGTTTCTCTCGAATAACTTGCTTGTCACAGAGTCTTCAGCTCAATAGAATGCAAGTTTATACCGTGACCCTTTATTTTTACTAAATTTTGATTATTCGGCGTTTTCTAAGTTCCTGGACTGGTTTATTTGCTACTTAGGTTGTGGCTCATATTTAATGAGATATTTTTATAAGTGGAATGAAGTCGTCAGCTGATGACTTCTTTCAAAAACCAGTTCATTTTAAATTTACAGGACAGAATTCACTTCGAACATCCAGTGGAAGACTTACGAATAAGCAGGAAAGTGTCCACAAACGTCGTTGAATACTGTATAAGAACATGCTAAAAGGAGACAGAAAAACAATGAATTAATTGGAAATCTCAAACATAATGTGAGATGATTATGTTGTGAATGATTTCAAACTATTTCATCAAAGTTAGCAACGGTCGGTTCACAGCATCTTAAATATTCCAATCTTATAACTTTTTGGGAATCTGATTGGGCAGGCTACATTTACTTATGCAGATACCACCAAAAATTAATGACTGTATTGATCGACACCTTCCAAATCCCCCTACTTCACCAATTATTTGTCAGAGGGGCAGACGGCAGCACATGTGTTATTCATCTCAGTCAATAGATCTTCAGAATCTTTTCTACTGACTTACCTAGCATGCCTGAAAATAAGTCTTCTCTCAGCGTTAATTACATTAATTAATGTGAGTAATCAAACTTGTAGTCTTCTTCTTACTTCATTCTTTAAGTAGTTTGGTTTCATTTCCTTAAAGTAAGATGGAGAATCTGTAGCTACTTGAAGGAAAAGACTGCATGGTTTTCAAGGGCTTCACTAGAGATGTACTCGCAATCTGTGATTACTAGATGAATAGTGATTTTGAACATATAATTCGAGCTTTATCTAAACAGGTAATTTAAGATAGTGTTATGAGTTCAAATGCAAATAAGATAAAAAAAAAGTAGAGAGTCTAGGAAAGTACATTTTAGTTTCAATGAAACGTTAACATCTGACTGCAGCGCTGACGTAGGCTATATTTCCGAACCACCAAGAACATGAAAGTAGACACTGATACATCATTTAGTGGAACGGTTACGCACTTACTTTACACACAGCCGTATGAAATTAGATCATTTTTTGACTGCTAATTTCTCTGTTGGTATATTAACGCAGAACTTACTGCAACAATCCTGTTTGAGAAAAACACGTTGGATGGATAGTAACGTGGTATTCAATGTCAATCAACTTTAACATGGTGAACAAAAATTCGGGCTTTGTTGGCTCGCTGTATTCAAATACAAGATTTGAATCCATGCATACTGCTAAATACCAGAGTATATACGAAATGTCCATTTTCATTACTGATAAAATAGACAATGCCAAAAAGCCCCTGTACCAACAGTTTTTGTCTGGTGATTATTAAAAGGTCAATTTCACATTAAACAGTTACTAAAGAATAAACAAAATGTTGCATCTAGTCTTTGGTGCTTGAGTTGACTGACTGATCGCCTCCACTTGTCCATCATCATAAAATTACCTTATTTGAAGAATCCTACCTTGTTTAGCGATTTGTTGTTTAAATTTTATCATCCAACTTTTAACAATTTTTATTGGTACTATCATGGATGAAGATATTCACACTCACTCAGAGATTACAGTGTCTTAAGTCATACGTCAATTGTTTGTCTAATGAAGAGTCATTGACCAAAATAAGTAATCCCTAAAGTAAAGGTTAATAAATTCAGGACGTACAACTGGCTTCTGTTCATTTAACGCTGTTACTTTCAAGCATTCAACATCATACTTTTCAATTTACAGGTTCCATTGTGTGTAAAGCTCGCCGTTTGGTGTATTGTCCTGATAACTTTTCCACACCTTGCTTTACTGTCAGAAACTGGTATGAAAATATGTTTCCCGATTTGGGTATTTGCTCTATTCACATTGTTTTGTGGAACACTGGTGCTTATACCAAATGCAACTGGTACAGTATTCGGACCAGTCAATTTAGCAGTGAATTACGGTTTGATCTTTATTGCTTTTGTAAGTGCATATTGAATTTGGATTGAGCATATGCTTTTACTGCATGTTAAATTATTAGTAATAATAGTCAATAATTTTCATATATCTGAGGCGAAGTTTTCTTCAATATTTTTTGTTTTAGTAATTTATTAAATTCTCTACAGAGTCAGAAAACCATCTCATTTTTAACACAAAACAAAGTTAAGTTTTGCAATCCATAGTTTTGTTGTACCATTGTTAACAGTTGTAAGAATAATTAAACGTGAGCATCGAGCCTTTTAATAAGGAATACAGTAAATTAAATTAAGAATATTATGAGAATGTGTCGGAACTGTATGTTGTGTCTCTTTTACAAAACATTTCTCTGACCACTGCTGACATTTAATGTCTATAAAAAAACAATTCAATTTCTTTATTATATTTATAATTCGTATTGTTTTTTACTCCCGTCAATACCGATATATATATATATATATTTAAATCTTATGCAGCTAATGTTGTATCCTTAAAATTCGAAACACCATAAAGTTTGATAGGAATGTTATTGGTGAAATTATACAATATCGGGATGTATGTTGTACTTCTTTGCAGATTCCTGATTATGTTCTATAGGAAAAATCGAATTCAGATTTCTAGTTCTAAAAAAACCTTCTCAAGAATTTCTTGACACTGATAGCTGTGTGAGAGGAACAGACAAAAACGTTTGAACAAATTATAAATAATATGAAACGCAAAGATGTCTTTCAATGGGCATATTTTTCTTTTTGTTCAGGAAATAGTATGATGACAATTCAGGGAAAATACAATTTATCGAAATATTTGCGTGAATAGTTTCGTTGCGAAAGTTTAAAATTACCATCGTGATATGACATAAAAGTTATCGTATTTCAGTCTTGATTCAGATGAATTGTTTCGTTAAAATGACTTTTCGACTTTCGAAAACCCAAAACGCTTAGCGTCTCTTAAGGAAAACATAAATCCCTTAACCAATTAACCAATTTTTTTTTGACAAATTTAATGTATACACACACACACAAAATAACCATATATATTTGCGATTGTACAGCTATGAAAATGAATTCGCCGAAAAGAGACTCTTCGCTGAACTACTTGTCTTCTGTCTACTAATGTTCGAATGGGAATTATTCATGAATAAATCAAAATGTATTTTTCTTTAAGATCTGAGTTGAGCGATTAAATTTTGTAAAATTTGTATTGATGTCATCCAAAATTCAGACACTGTTTTATTTTTTTAATAAATTTCTAGTCGTTTGGAAGTTTCACTTGTGCACTTTTTACAACCTTCGTAACTCCGGAAGGAGCCTACATATTCCAATACACAAGCTGTGGGATTGTGTGCCTTGTGTGTAAGTAGATAAAAAACTGTTTATTGTTAAATTGTGTTAGATGCTTATCATTACCGAATTACTCTGTTTTATAGTGACATAAATAAGGTTAACTCTCATTAGTATGGTCGGTGAAAACATTTGAGAAAAGCTGATCGAGATATCAAACTCTATTGAATTCAATATAAGGAAAATTTATTTTGCAACAGACTCCTAGTTTTTATACTGGAAAAATGACTGTATCATCAAGTATTGACTCAAAGAGCGAAATTAAAACTGCAGTATGACATATCTTCGGATTACAAAACGCATAAAGATACTACTGAGGCTTTAGTCAGTCATACGAATATCTATATCCCCAACAATTAATATGCATAAAATAAAAATCTCAACTATGGTTGTAAAAGGGAAAAAGAGAATTGTGACTTGACGTCACTATACGTTCGAAGTTGCTCAGTACTTTCTTACATAAAATTTACTATGGTACTGGAGTTTTGGTGTTAAAATATATCCATCTATCCATGAACAAAAAGAAACAACAAAAAGCGGAATAATTATAGTTTTCAATAATTCCTGTTACTAGTTGTGCATCCATATTTGTATTTGAGGAGAAGCAGTCCAAATAAAATTGTTCAGTGTTTTAATTACAACAACAAGATTAACATTATCTTTAGGAAAGCAGTAAAGTTAGAAATAGCTTAAAAACATCAATCTTATGTGCGTCGGTGGCACAGTGGTTAGGACTCTCGCCGACCATGCACATGCTCCGAGGTTCGATCCCCTGCCGACGCACACCTGATATCTATGGTCGGCCTGCAAAATTTGGGCTACCGATATAACATGCTGAAAATTCCATACCTGTGCCAAAAAACTATGGTGTGGAATCAAGCTGTAATCAAAAAAAAAAATTAAGAATTGATCTTAAAAACACGAGATAGATCTATTTCCTGCAAAAGGCAAAGGCTAAACTACTGACAAATAATCGGTCTGAGGGTATTAACTCATTTAACATGCTACTAACTTACACCTAGGTCACTTATGCTAAAGTCATTTCGACGGTGTCGATCAAAGATGAACACATGACAAAATCAATAATTTGTGATGATGCTTTGAGGTCGACCGTTTCAACAGTCTACACTTTCATCACTTACGTGTTTTTGAATTGTTAGCCATAAATCTATGGGAACCCTGAGCTAGAGCTCCTTTCTTCACATCAGTCTTAATAAGATTATTTCTACTTAATTTTCTTCCACTTTACTTTAACATCTACAAAATTAGGACCATTGTCACTTAACTTTTCTGTCAGTAGATGATAAAAACTAGATCTTCACTATGATGTTATTATAGAAAAGAAATTATGTCTATGAATAGAAAGTGATAAAAAAAGTATACTAATCATTAAATAAGTCATGGTTCCATTTACAACCCAATTTATCACCGACCTAAAAAATATTTCTCGAGTCATGGTGTGAATTCATAATGTTTAATTTATGTGTATCAACCACACATGTTTGCATAAATTACGTATATTGTCAGAAAGTACTTTAAACAGTCAAGTGAGAATTAAGTTCGACGTTTTTGGTTGAACTTGTTATCTTATTGTTAGTAATAGAGATCGTAAAGCAACAAGGTGTTTGTGATGTTCTCCCTATACAACACTGACCAAGCTAATTAATAATGCATTATAAATATTTTATGTTAAGGATTTTATACCTGTATAATACTACATGAATTTATGGTTTATTAACACTTGTACCTAAGTTTAAACCTAACTTCACCTCAGCAATCGAAAAATGAGTGTTATCAATCAAATAACCCTATCGAGTTACTAAATAGCATGTATACAGCTGCATCAAAACCTCTGTAACCAAGTGTTGAACCTTAGAGAACGCAAAACGATTTTCATTCTCATACCGCGCTATGAACCTTTTTAATTGCTGCAAAGTCCTTTCAGAACAGTGTACTTTTGCGTGCAAGAAAAGGGGCAAAATTCTTTAGCTGAGAAAATTGGGAAGGTGTAAAATAAACCAGATGAACTACTAAAGCTAGAGGAGAAAAAAAGAGAGATGAGAGAGTAGCGAGTGTTTCAAAAAGTTACTATCGATTTATGGGAAAAGTTTCCTTCGAAATTGGTTGAATCATACAACGTGAACTCATATATCACATCATCAGGGTGACATTCGTTGACACCAAAACAACTTAAATTCCACCAGCTACCTGTCTCAGATAACCTTGGAGGAGAATAATTTTGAATTGTGCCTAATAAGATGATTGTGACCCTGTGAACAGATAACAGCAAAAATTAGCTGTTATAAACAAGATAAATCATGTTAGCGAAAACAGAAAGCCACTGAATATGTATCAATCGCTGGACAAAAGCTCCCTGAAGCAATTCAACAACTGAATATAACACAAGTTAAGCGGCTCAATAAAATCCATGTAAATCATAAAAAAGAAAGTATACAGCAGAAACAACTGCATCAGCTTACCTTCATCTCGAAGTTGACTTAAAATACATGTGGGAAATTTTTCACTAGGGCAATAATTACACTTGCTAGAACAAAGTAGTTCAGTTTATCAAAAGTGTTATATATAAGACTGTACCGCTCAGTTGGCGACAGTGAACATTCAGTCAAGGTATCTGAAAGTATAGAAAGATATAAAATGATGAGTTCTGTTGACTTTAATTCATATTTCACATTAATTCTACTAAATTTAGCTAAAGAAATAGTGAGTAATGCCTTTTTAATATACTTAAACAGCAGTTATGATCTTAGAGGAACTCACTGATCCCTATCTTACCACCGAAGTGCACTTCAGCTACAGAATCTACCAGCAAAAAGGTATGATGTTAGTAAAACCAACGATATCATGGTTTAATAATGAGACCGTTAAGTGGTGTCTAAAGTTGGTTGTAGTCACAGTGATTCAAACTAAAATATGAACTGACTGCATCGTAGAGACCTTCATGATTATCAGTTCCAACATACCGAAAATTCAGTGAAATTCATTTATGCTAAGCGAGAATAAGACAATGAGATTCCCTTTTCTGGATGTGGTTATTAGGAAAATTTACTATGCAGCTTTGCAAACAAGAGTGCAGTGGAAAACTAATCATGCTGATGAAATTTCTACAACGGCAACAATTTCCCTGAAGTGTTATGTTAAAATATTGTCTTTAAGATTCAGTGTAGCCTACAGTAAACGAACGCTACGAAAAGCTGATAAAAGTAGCTGCATGAGATATTCAGAGTGGAGGACCATATCTGAAATCGTATTTCTCTTGCGAAAGCAGAGCACAACATTTACTGAAGGCATTACTTTACCCTCCACAAAGGTTGTCTTTGAGGTCAAATTACTGTGAAAGTTTAGAAACAGAGTATCACTAAGACCAAAGCACTTAAAACGAAATCTGTTGCGAAAGCTACAAAGCCAATTATTAGAGAAATATGAGACAAATGAGATTCGAAAAATCGACCTCAAAGAGTGCCTTACAACGCTATGTCGTTCAATTCAGTCACCATTTTACCCAAAGGATTGATTAACATTAACAAGCAGTAATAGTGTGGTGAGAGCAGGCTGCTAGCCGATTGGTTGGCACTAATCTACGTTAAGGTCTAGGTCACTAATATGGGCCGTGAACAAGCCTGAGTCAACAACCAATCACAGCAAAGTTAACGTGGCAAAATATGATTCGCAGAGAGAACCCTATTTGTCAAGGAATCCCGAAACAACCAATCAGAAGCCTGCGTTTGTCTACCTAAACAACCAATCAGATGACTGCGCTTGTCTATGATAATGTAGTTGAAAGATGTATAAATACGTGTTGATTTTCATAATAAAACGATCTGTTGCCTGGCCCTTGTCTTCTGTTGTTACATTTGGTGTCGCTGCCTACCGACAAATGAAAAGCCTATACCCTGCAGTTTTTGATGGAGACATATGGATCTTCGGGCAGGACTTCAAGGCTTCTGCGCAGTTGAGTGGCGTTCAAGATCTGTCAGCGATGGAGCTGCTACTTGAGACGCTGCTGGGAGGTCGGGCGAAAGCAGCATATGAAGGTGTCGGCCGAAGTATGGACGAATGTTCGACAGGGTCAGGCAAACAGTTTCCAAAGTGGGAAGGACCATATATGGTCACTTCGAGATGGGGTTACGCAGACACAGTCGCAATGGCGAACAATGAGGGGCGCGTGAACGTCAGCGAGCTCCAGAAATGGATACAGCGAGACAAGCCAACGATGACGCCTGCACCAAGTAGATCAAGCCGACTTCAGTCGCACGTATTTGACGGGGGGACGAGTGTGGTGAGAGCAGGCTGCTAGCCGATTGGTTGGCACTAATCTACGTTAAGGTCTAGGTCACTAATATGGGCCGTGAACAAGCCTGAGTCAACAACCAATCACAGCAAAGTTAACGTGGCAAAATATGATTCGCAGAGAGAACCCTATTTGTCAAGGAATCCCGAAACAACCAATCAGAAGCCTGCGTTTGTCTACCTAAACAACCAATCAGATGACTGCGCTTGTCTATGATAATGTAGTTGAAAGATGTATAAATACGTGTTGATTTTCATAATAAAACGATCTGTTGCCTGGCCCTTGTCTTCTGTTGTTACAATAGGGTTCTGTACTTGCTTCTTTTTATGAACGCAAATACAATCACGAATTAGACTCTGGTAATATTTCTTCCTTACAAAATGCATGCCGAAGACCAACACTATTACTTCTAAAGACATGATAATCAAAAGAAACCACAACTGACAGACACACTGACATCAGTCTCACTTTGAAGAAAAACAATCAACTCACAATCAAATGACTAAAATTCAACCAAGTGGATAGGTAATAAATTCTATGATTCTAATTAACAGTAGGAATCACTCTACAATACAGAATTGGTATTTGTGTAACCTGATGCAATTTAATGTCAAAAAAAGTAGAGCGAAAGAATACTTCTGTCAACTACAATCAGACCACTATCAAGCGGAATAAAACAGAATAAAACGGTCTCATCTCCTGGTTTGAAGGCAATACAAACGATTAAATACGCTGGTAATAGATCAGAAACAAAAATTTTAAACTTGGAAGCTAATTGTATTGTAAATGAAGACAGTAGGCAGCGAAATTGGTTTTCGTTATGTTTTCTGAAAAGTCCACTCACCCTTGTCTCAGATCCACCCCGGCTGTCTTTGGTTTCCTCAAAATGATTTAAAATATCATTTCCAAGTTATTTATTTTCACAGAAAATAGAATGCAATAATACTGATTAGCGTGCATTTGATTCTGCGGAAATGGGTGTGAAATATTATTATTTTCTGAAACTCAGTTAATTTTTCGTTGTCATGATAACAGACTTCATCACAAACTTGTAGTGTTATCAGGTAGTCAACAGAATAAATAATATTTTTCATATCATGTGAAAAGCAGAATTTAGTAGCCTGTAAATTGTTCATGATGAATATCTTCATATTTTCTACGAGTTTATAAAATTTATATTTTCAACAAAAGGTCTGGTGATTCCAAAATACCAAGGAGAGACTTGCATGTAAGATTTGAAATTTAGGTAGTTTAGTCATTTGGATGTTTAAGCGCTGTACTGGCCTTAGTAGTCAGAAATTTCCATACAAAAGCATATTTCCATGGAAAAGAAGTACTAATAAGCAAAGTGATGAGTATTTTAAGAGTAAAGGCCTAAGCAACTGTTATACCCAAAAATGGGTGTGCTGGTATGCCTTAGCTGTTTGTTAATGACATATATCCCACTCCTCATTGATTTCTTTACAAAGAGTTCTAGAATAGTAAAAACAACAAATTATTAGCAAAGCTATTGTAACACTATATTTTCACCATGGTAATTATTTCTACTAAATGTTTTTTTATCGTCATCATAAGATCTGTTCACTGGGCAATCCACCTTCATAAAATTCTGTTATGACTTTTTCCTGTAACATGAAGCTTCATCTTATCTGAAATAAATCATCGTCCTAGGAACTAATCATATTTAGTGCAATTATATTAAAGGCATATCAGCTCAGTTAAAACAGTTTGCATAATGCAACAATTTCAGTCTGACTTATGACAACTCTATTTGTTATGTACAAGTCTTATTTTTCGAGTTTTCTCAGAAATTTAGAGAATATGATTTCCGCTATCCATAGATGACTATACTTTGACTATACTTTTATGGATAAGTAGAGGAATAAATAGAAACTCAGCATATTATTCAAGAAAGTAATTTCTTGAGTGAAGTATTAGTGGAGAGTTTACTTACATATGCACGAGTTACACAGTTGATAGTGAACTTATACGTCTATGGAGATATGGCATTTTTCAGAATTCAGTCAAATAATGTGGTTTTAATCACAGAAGTCTTAAAAACAAATATTTCGCGAAAATTTAGATGTAAGATGAGACAGCCTGTTCTCAATAAGACACTTAAGCATACTCACTGAAATCTATCGTTGTCAAGCTGGTGTAGTGTTTTTCAAATTATTCCCTTTAAATGATAAGTTTACTGCTCGTCTAATGTCTGACTATAATAAAATTTTGCTTCTTTTTTAAATAGCACTTTTCATAACATTGTGGATCGAAGACAGAAAGACTCCAGAGAAGTGCAAACTGAGCGGATGCTTGTTAGATCATGTGCAAAATTACGAGTGAAACAACCTTACTACAGTCCACATGAATTAGAAGCTCTCAGATCGTAATGCATAACTGATTACCTTTATTATTACAGTTATTAGCATTATATATATATAGACTTCGTCCTAGTTGTATCTCTCTGCTCCACGCAAAATAGAAAAGCACTGTCATAATTGCCATTAGTGCAGTTAAATTTTTAAAAATAATTTTATCCGATAAAAAAAATTGCTTCGTCTTTTTAACTGCTTTCTGTTTAATTATATTTTCTGCAAACACTTATAATAATAAAATTTCACTGAAACATAGACTCATGTTTATCTTGCATTTTGCTATGATGAAAAACTAAAAAATCGTTCTGCATCTCGAAAGTAAAAGCAAAAGTAGGTGGAGGTCAAAAGTAAAGTTCACGTTCCTATGATTCTGCACAAATGACACAATAACCATCCTTTTAATCGCTTCATTGGTTTCCGAATCGAAAAGTGAAACTTGTTGCCTTTTTAGAAATTCCAAATAACTTCCCATGAAACGTATAAATAGACAAAATAAGGCTGTTTGGCTATCAAATTTTTATTACTTCTTACTTTCCATATTGTCTCTTAATGGCTAAATGAGACTGCCTGACTAAACAACACCTGAACCAAAAATGACTTCAATACTTGACATTTCAAAGGTTTTTTCTGGCACTCAGACCCTTTTAACTACATAAACATCGGTGGTAGATAGGATTTGACGAAATCCTCAGACCATTTTGAATGCAATATCTACAAATTGATTAAATATCTAACAATGGCACATATTTTGCATTTTACTTAGTAAAATTCTCACTTTTCAAATAAATCATAGGATATTAAAAGATATTTTAGATATTATGAAGAGGTAACAGGATTTGAAGTTGAAAAATAACATACACTAATATAAATATTAAAACATTGTGTTCACCTATTTTAAAAAAGGCTAAACATTTTTCAGTCTGTGAAAGCTAGGCACTAGGAAGTGGTTTTACGTAATCTTCAGAGAGGGAATATTAATTTTGTTTGCTAAAGAAATTCTGAGTTTCTGTTGCACTTAAAAACATAGCAACCATATAATGTGGAAAATGTAGAATTCACATTGTTTAGTCTATTGAAATTCTAATTGTCTTCATCATAGATGAAATCAGACTCTGAAGTTTTATGCTAGTAGTTTCATGTATTAAAAATTAGCCATTTCAGGCTGCTTTGTTTTGCTCAAAAGTCACTTTTTCATAATCGAGATGTACGACTTCCTCGTGAAATGTGTAAAACGACCGTTATTCTGGTCATGAAGTTTGTTCAATAATCACCTTATAAGAAACAAAAAAGAACGATAACTGCTAAGGATGGATAAACACAAAACACAGTTATAGATTATTCTTTATCAGAGGAATGCGTACCCGTCTGTTGTAAAGGTTTAAACCAATGAAATAAGGATCTTTTTAACACTTTAAAAAAATTCAAAAATATATTCTATTCTTATCCAGAAAATATTAAACACGTCTATCACCCGAGAATCAAAACTCGATTCATGATTCAATGTCTTGCAGCAGTGCTAATCGAATCTGATAAGAAACCTGTATATTTATTTAGCCGGATGAAATACTCAATGATGGTGAAAATATTAGTGATACTGTCATCAGTGTGAAGACAGAATAATCTAAGAAGAGAAAAACTCACTTTGTTCAGGTGCATCCTACGATCTATAGTAACTATAGTAAGCGAGTGGGTGATCCGGGATTCAATCAGTTCATAAAATATCAGCATCTTTTTCTCAAACTTGAACTAATTTATGCATGCAAGAACGCAGAGAATTTAGCTATCGAGGTCTCTTGAAATTTACTAATTCTTTTAATCCTGCTTTTACTTAAACTGTTGCAATATTTTAAATTTATATCGAAGAACAAACGCTTTAGACCCCTATAAAAGCTTCAGCACCATTTACGATGTGCCAGGAAACTCGGCAGAAAATGCTTGATTATAAAATAATGTTTCATTATATAATAATTGAAATTAGTGTTACATTTAGTTAGCACTGGTAATTTTTTAAAACTTGGTCGTTCATTTTCTACTCAAATTTACTTCAAGATACTTAGACCTGCATCTATGCATACAATAGTGAATGCTCATTTGTGGTGACTGGTACATTAATCGTGGAACAATGCATTCAAGCATACATTGTGAAACATGTATTATATAATTAAGTGATGAGAAATTGTTTCTTCTGTTTACGACTAGTGACCAATCAGGAAGCATTTTTGGAAGACACTTCTAGTTTGTTCCACTTATTTGTGGTACTGTAGTAATGAAAGACTAATTTAAAAGTTATTTCATAAATATTGGTAGTGAAGCAATAATTCAACAGACTCTTTGTTCAACTTCATGACCAAACACTGACATGTAGTGTGAACATTTGAACTGTAATTTCTTCAAACAAACTGGACAGAGTAAAAAAACAAAGCAAGTATAGAAAATGAAGGAAGTATAGTCTTGACCAAAAATTGTTTTAAATGTCAAGTGGTTTTCTTAATTAATCCCCTTTTTCAATCATTCCATCGAATTAAGGAATTCAGTAGCTTTTGTTGTGTAATATGGCGCTACTTATGTTACGATGGTTATTTCTAAATGCGTCGTTAGTACAGTAGTTAGGACTCTCGCCGACCATGCACATGCTCCGAGGTTCGATCCCCTGCCGACGCACACCTGATATCTATGGTCGGCCTGCAAAATTTGGGCTACCGATATAACATGCTGAAAATTCCATACCTGTGCCAATAAACTACGGTGTGGAATCAAGATGTAATCAAAGATAAAATAAAATAAATAAATGTGACTGTGAATGTTCTTAATAAATATTTTCACCATATTGTTAAAGTCGATGAGTCAGCCTTCAGAATTAACAGTCTGTTAACACATGTATGTCAGTGAAGTTTTAAGATTTTCAGAGCACTTCACTTGTCATTTAACGTGTTATTTATTATCTTATTGTCACTATCTGAAGATAAAAACATGTTTCAGAAAAAAATTACCTTTATGTTCACAAATACACTAGTAGTACTCGAACAAAATTGTTCCATTTTAAATGAGTAGTAGATGCAAATTAGGATTGTGAATTCAGTGATTCCAGTATGCGCCTGATTACACAATTATCGGCAACACAATGTAAATAAGTTCTTGAGATTTAGACTGCGTAACAATGAATGCTAGATGAAAAGCAAGTTGGTTGTACTGTAGCGGTAGGTAATTTATTAGCCACAGCATTCTTCAGTGAACATTCGATGCCGACCCTCACTCTTTTATTTGATTTGACTAGCTAAAGGCTTAAGATCAAGCATCAACGCTTTTCGTCACTCCATCGTGTTACGTTCGTTCTTTCGTGCACGATCACTAGCTAGTAAAGCAATCATCTCCCAAAATATATCTCGCAATCTGGACGATCAACTCTTGTGTTTTACTTTGCCTTCGGTCTACGCGGAGCGAATTCCGTAGAAGCTGTGGGTATTAGATCTTGCGTTAGTATACTTCATGCTATCAGTGAACGTCAACACCCTCAGACTCTAAAGTACGCTTAACTAACAGGTGATCAGATGAATAAAAGACTTAGCAAACCATGCTTAATGTGACGATCGTGAAATATTTACTGAAAATGGAACCAAGTAAGTTCTCGCCATTCCTGATATTTATTATTATTGTACTGTTATTAATGTGCAGTCATTTTTAATGATCTGCAGATCGTGATAAAAAGCATCGATTAAACCACCCGCCAATTTGGCTTTCTATAATAGAATAATTCACTGGAGAACGTCTCCTGAAGTCTATTTAAAGTACTGATCTTCCTTCGAATATTTCACCTAATTATGTTATTATCATTCTTTTTTCCTTTACTTACGTATCGCTGTTCTCGCATGTACATATCTTACTTTGATTAAATTATTATAACTGGTCTTTGTTTATGGTTAATTACTTTTCTAAATGTTTCACTTTACTAACTGGTGATGATGGAATCTTGGTGATGACATGCTGTCTTACAAGTGTGATCATATTAGAACGAATTCAAGTTAAAACGTGACTGTCAGTGGAAAACATGTTTGGTGTGTTTTATTGTTACCAACAGAGCTTTGATCTCACCTTATTACGAATATTCTATTTGATTCTCCTTTATTTCTTACTACTGTTTTTTGCTAACCTAATCTTGTTCTTCAGTGAATATTTTGTGCCCGAAAAACTCTTGGACAGTATAGTGGCAATGTTAAGGTAATTTCGCGTCTTCGATATGTTATTACTTTTATTTAACAGTACTACAATGTTCATTACATCAAACTGTCTTCTTGGTACTACTGGGAGAATATCGTAATTCTGCCTCACTTGCAGAAGTTTCGTCAACTCAAAAGAAGGACACCGGTCCCCTGTGTTCAAACTAAAATACTCAGATTTTTATTTTCGCACTTTCCATATGTTACAGAATATACTTGTTAATTCCTAAAAATATGGATATTCATCTAAATGTTCTTGCAATTGCTGCAAAATAATGGCACATTTTAGTCCTTCTGTCTGCGCATTTCACTTTTCTAGAGTTCAGCTAGACAAAATGAATAATGATAAAGAGATAGGTATGTTTCGTTTATGTCGCCTGTATTTACAAAGAATATGGGGAAACAAATACTTTGGATGACAAAATAATATTTGCAACGTGTGTAGCGCCCCTATATTAAGCCTAAGAGTACACTTATAAAAATAATTCATGTACGCATGTTATACTCTTACAAAATCTAATTTTCTTTATGCTTGTTGAATATTTGTCATCGTATTATTGAATATTGATTTTCGTTTGTTATACATATATATCACACGGTTATGCACTTTTTCGTTCACCTCATGCTTTTTGAAATTCGATATCGTTAACAATACATTTTTTCGAGTTTTCACTTGTGTTCCTCAATATAACATTGTTCGTCGTTGACCGTGTACAGCGTTAGCACATGGTAGAACTAGAAAATATGGAGGTACTGTAGCATAAAAATCGGAATCATCTTCAGTAAGCCATACGTGTACTGCCCTGAATAGTGATTTGACTGTCAAAGATAGACCAGTTATAAAACAACGACTATTGTCGCACAAAAACGGAATCTTGAAGATGCACACCGAATTCATGAGTAATTCTGGAGTAACTTTCGAATGAAACCATTAGTCATAAGAAAAAGACTTAAACTTCAAGAATATTTCCTTTTCTACGATTCATTTCCATAAGATGTAAAATCGTGATTTTATTTAACCAAGAATTCATGAGACCAATC